ATTGAATTGATTATTTCCTGTCCAATCAAAATTTAAATCAAAATGTCTTAATCACCAAGACATAAAGCAATGAGGCTTAATAAATCAAAAATGTGTGTTGTTTCTTTACATACTCTGAATATATTTAAAGATTATTAAAAGTATCAAGAGTTTCCAATAAATACCTTAATTAATAAATCTCTTTTTAGATGATGGTTTTGAAGATCAACTGGATGAAACAGATTCTTTAGACGTGTCTCGTTCTTCTCAACCTAATGATACCAGCCTCTCTCTGGACATTCTCGAATTACAGAAACAGATAAAACAATATCAACGCGATATTGACCAGTTTGAAATGGTGAAATCTGATTGGTTACTTGAGAAAGAGGCTCTTGAAGATGTAGTTATGAATTTACGTACTCAGTTGAAACAGGTTGAAGCCCAGAAATCACAGGTAAGGGGTTGTTTCTATTTGGCTATAGTCTCTGCTGTCTTGCAATTTAAGCATGTGGGGCACATCTATAAAAGAATGTTTGGGTTGTTTCCCTTTGATATAGTTATTACTGTCTTTTACTCATAAGATGTAGTATTAGAAGTCATGAAAGGTGCTCACTGTAACAAGAAAATTTGTCTTGAGGGAAAGACCTTTCAACACTTAATCTAATTACTTGAAAAACGCTTATCCTTGGTCTGAAAACAAATCAACCAGTGTGGGTTTTAAATATCGCCCTGCTTTGTCATGATCCACATCAAAGATATTTATGCCTATATGGGTCTACGTAAAAGAAAGAAATATTATGATATATGATGATACAGTGAGGCTATGATATTTTATTATAAATGAGATATTTACCTTGCTTCGCTCGCCGTACTGATATCTTTTATCTATTTCTCGTAATTCTTTATAATTTATAATTAATCTCTTGCTTATACACTAGTTTATTTTTACTCTAAACTGATGGAAGATGTAGAAAGCGGCTTCAACTTATTGATCTGACTGCGACATAATGCTAGACAGACTGAAATAAGAAAATGGTTGCAAAGTAATCATGTAATTATTGCTGTAGGAAGAGGTAATTGTGCAAGGCCAGCTAAACTGAAATGAAATTAAGTGCTCTGATTAGTAAAATATTGCTTTGTATTCTATTTCTTTAGTATGTGTTTAATGGCAGCCTTGTTTGTTTTCTAGGTACCTAAATCAGATACAGAAGATACAAGTAAACAAGTCAATGATCTTGCCCATGAAAATCAGGAATTGGAGAAAGAGAGAGACCATCTACTTGATAGAATCGTAAGTCGAATTGATGAAATGCAAATGCTGATTTTTTTGGGATTTTCATATTAAAACAGTTTTTTTTAATAAATTCTGTAAATTTCAATGCAGTGTTGTTTGGTCGGCTGTCTATAATTCATTGTTGTGTCTGACGTTCAGTACTACATTTTGATAAAACATATTTTATAATTTGATATTATTATTTTAGTCGATGTTAGAAGATAATTTAAAAAGCTCAGAGAAAGAGAGAGATGAATTAAATGTCAGCTTAACTGAACAAAAATCTACTTTCGGTGAGTTGCGAGACTTTGTTTCAGATCATCTAAATTGATAAAGAATTTTGAGAGACTATGGAAGAGAAAGATGTATGATTCTTGTTCCCACAAAAGCTTTTGTTCAGATATATGTCGACAACTGAGCTCTGATGCCAAATATAGTACTTTTCACAAGTTTATCATGCCTTGTCTACTAACTTTATCCCTTATACTAGCAAGCATGCAGATAGAGCAGCACAAAGCCCTAACATAATTCTTACTGGCTCCTAAAAATCACCCAGTTTGTGTTGAACATTAAGATGAATGAACGTTGTCTGTTTTCAGATGGAAAAAACCAAGTTGTAGAAGAAAAAGATCAGAGGTTGAAAGAGTTACAACAGGAGAAGGAAGAATTAGAGACAAGCTTGGATCAACTTGATTTACAACACCAAGAGGAACAACTCCAGCTAATCAACATCAAAAACAACCTTGCGAAAAAGGCAGAGAAACTGTCAATCGAGTTGAACCAGAAAGACGTCATGATAGCTGATCTTAGTGAGCAGTTGGAGACAGAAAAACTTAATCAGTCCTCCCATGGCGACAACAATTTGAAAGTTTTACAAATGGAGGAGGCCATGGAGAAACTATCAAATGAATTGAACACCTCGCATTCTAAAAATAAGGCATTACAGAATGAAACGGAAGCCATGAAAGTCAAACTTCAAAATGGTGCTGTGGCCATCAATGATATGCATATGGATAAGCAAGAATTGCAGACCAAACTTAACAAGATGGTGGAAGAATCTGAAGCAAAAACCGCAAAATTTAAGGCTCTCAGAGCAGAAAACTCAAAATTGAAAGAAGAATCACAGAGTTTGGAAGAGAAGATTGAAGATTTGGAAGAAGAAATTGAAAAATTGGAATCCATTAATGAAAGCAACCAAATGAGTCAAAAGTCAGATTCAAATTTTGAAAAACTGAAGGCTGAGTACAATGAGGTCAAGATGAAGTTAGTTGATGCAGAAACAGAAGTTGTTGAATTGAAAAAGAAAATGGCCGACAATGGAGACAAAGATAGTGAAGATGCTGTGAAGGTTCAAGAATTGGTCAAACAAATTCAAGACCTCAAAGATGAAAATTCAAATTTGAAAATACAGGTGCAGACAACGTCCAATCAGAATGAATCACTGCAAAAAGCTGAAGACTTACATTTGAGCAAATCCAGTGACTTAGAAACACAACTTGAAGCCATGATCTCGGAAAAAGAACGTCTTGAGAAAGAGCTCGATGTTGCAGAGCAGAAATATGCAAATCAGGTCAAACAGTATGATAAATACATCAAAGATTTAGAAGAAAATAAAAACATGGACCAAAATTCACTTCAACAAGAGCATCAGAAACTTGCACAAACTGTCCATCAGAAGGAAAATGAAATTTCAGTTCTGAAGTCGCAAATTGATGACCTTAATTCAGAGCTGGATGTAACCAAGGAAACCATGCAGTCAGCTGTAGACAGTCAACAACAGATAGCCATAATTCTGAAAGAGACGGAAGAAAAAGTGACATCGTTCCAAAATCAAGTCTCGCAGTTAGAAACAGAAAATGAAGAACAGCAGCAAAAAATTCAAGAACAAGAACTCCAGTTACAATCTATGCATCAACTTGATGAATCAGCCCAAAAACAGAAAGCAATAAGTGAAGATCTCAAATTGAAACTTGAAGAATCTGAAAAATTAGCGCAGCAGACTTCAGATGTCATGGCTGAAAAACACAAGACATTGGCTGTCATCACAGAACTTGAAACTGAGCTAACCTTAGCAACAGACAAAATCAACAAATTGGAAACATTGACTAAACAACAGACAACAATCATTTCTGATCATGAAAAAGGAATTTCTCTTCTGAACCAAAAGGCCGAAGAACATCGCCATGAAATTGAAACAGAGAAAAGTACAATTGAGAGTCAAGAAAACCTCATTGCTGTTTTAAGACAGAATTCAAATCAGAAAGAAGAAAACTTGGATAAAGTTCATCGAAAACTGAGCCGAGCTACCAGCTTCCTTAACGACGACCAGAAGGCAGCCATTGAAATGGACAACAGTCCAGATTTTTCGTTGCCAGCCATTGAATACAAAGTTCAAACACAGGAAATGAATGGGTTCGAAGAAGACTCCAAGCAAGCTGAGAATGTGAATGCTGAGTTAAGTAAAATCGAAGAGAGGATCGCAGAAAAAGATCAAATCATTTCTGATTTGCAGAAAAAGAATTCCTCCCTTTTGAAAGTTTTGGAATCAAAATCATTAAAGACGTCGTCAAGTGAACCAAACATTGTTGATGTCCAAAGACTAGAGAGTGAGGTGAAGAAATTGTCAATGGAGAAGGAACAGATCATGGCAGTCATGAATGAAAAATCACGGGAGAGCAGTACGTTAAAAACCGAGGTCCATCGCTTGATGAACATTGTTGCTGCTGAACGAACGGCCTTGAACAAACTTCAAAGAGACAACCAGGATTTGAATCAGAAACGAGATAATCCGAACGATGATATGCAGAAGGCTGCGTTACAACAACTTTCCCGTCTGATTCGAGACAAGGATGTTGAAATTGAGGCTCTGAAGCAGAAGAATGACACGTTATTGGCAGTTCTCCAAGATTCGTCAGCAGACAACAGTCAACAACAAATGAGCAAACTTTTGTCTGAGAAGGAAGAACTGAGTAAGAAAATATCAGAGTTACAGGGTCAGAACGAACAAATGGTCGTGTTTGTCAACACTAAACATCAGGAGTCTGTCACTTACCACAACGAGGTCCAGCGTCTTTCAGTCATACTCCACGAACAGATGGAGAGTTTCGATCATATCAAAGCTGAGAACGCCAAACTTGTCCCCCAGTTTGAAGAAAAGAAACAAACTTTGTTGAAACTTCAAGATGAATTACTGACTTACAAACAGAAATTTCAAGAACTTGAAGTCAAATATGGAGAAATGTTGCAGAGATCAAATATTAAAGATACGGTGGATAAATCCAGTTTTGATGCCAAGGACGAAGAACTGAAAAGATTGCAGGAAAAATTCTTAGAGATGCAAAAGTCTGTGCAAGAAAAAGACCTGAAGATCCAGTCTTTAAGTCATGAACGTGGCGAATTAGAAAATGAGGTTGTTGGGAAAGAAACTGATAAAATTAGTCTGAAAAAACAAGTCGATCATTTGCAATTTCAGATCGAAGGTATGAATACAGAATTAGGCGATTTACGATCGGAAAACACGAAGTTGAACACGAATCAAGCGCAAAGTGTTTCTGAATTAATGTATGCCAAAGACTCGAATAATAAACTGAGTGCTCTATTACGTGAAAAGGACTTAGAATTGCACACTGTACGAGACAAATGTGAAACTTTGAACAATTTATTACAAGATCAGAGAAAACAAGAGGGTGAGGGTGAAGGTCAAGGTCAACAAGTTCCTCAAGGTCAAGTTGACAGGCTAGTCAAACAGATGGAAGTGTTACAACAGCAGACTTTGACGTTACAACAGGAACGAGACCAGACTTTGACGTCATTTCAACAACATCAACACCAAACTGAACAACTTACAAAAGAGGTAATAAAATTAATAGTAATAATAATAATAATAATAGTAATATCTTTATTACAAAAAGATAAAAAATAAGGCAATACAATATAGGTATATATTATGGTTGCCCTCATATCCCCCCTTTTTAAATGTGCAGCGTCACCTGTGTCTGTTGATCCATCCACAATTGCTCGTATCCTCTCTAGAAGGCAAAATTTTTTCTATTTGAAGTTTGGGCAAAATTATTATTTATCACTTAACAAAGTGTCCTATCTAACCAAAAAAACTTCAGCGAGAAGTCTACAAAGACAAAATAATGAGGGTATCCCGACCTTTGATTGACATCTGATTTATGCTGAACTTGTATTAAATTTCAGGTTGAAAGACTGAAAGAAAGAGAGGTGAAGTTAACAAGAGAAAATGATCGCCTCCGTTCACATTTAATTCAGGTAACTATCAATAGAATTACTTTTACTGTCAAAATCGCATTAAATGCATTCTCCACCTTCCGAGATAAGAAAAATTTTCTTGGGGGAAGGTCCCCTGACCCCCACTGTGACTAGTATCCTCTAAAATACAAAAGGGGATGTGATGTGCTTGGATGCCACCACACCCCCAATCAATGAGATCCTGGCTATGCCACAGAATGCCATTGTACAATGATTTATATTTGTAAGTAGTAATGTAATTATCCCTTTTCAACATATTTTTGTAGGTAGAAGAAGGTTATACAAGAGAGGCTTTAGAATCAGAAGAGAGAGAAAAAGAGCTGAGAAATCGGGTAGCTATAGCAGAAGAAAAATTAGTTTCTGCTTCGTATAATGTTGAAACTTCCAGGTAAATTTGTATTCTAGTGACTTTTCTTTTCAAAATGTACAGCAAACCTTTGATAGGCATACCAGATGATTGAAAATTTAATATTTTAAATGTAATAGTAGAGAAAAAAACAAAAAACTTTGTAGTGCTTTACTACTAGTTGTCAGTCAAAATGTCACATTATTGTGAAATTCTTAACCATTAAGTCAACTGATTAAAACAAATTTAGCCAATGCTGATTGGATAAAAATGTGAATACAGATACTAGCAAACTATTAATAAATGATGTAATGAATCTGATTTGTTTTCAGTCATCAACTGACTTTACAAATAGAAGAGTTGAAATATCAGTTACAAGTTGTATCGAGTCAGAGAGACGCTGCGTATAGTCAAGTGACCAGCATGCAGGACCAATGTCAACAATACGCTTCCTCTCTAGCTAATTTACAACTAGTTCTAGAGCAGTTTCAACAAGGTACGTCTAATGAACAGTCGGGTTTTTTCAGTCAACATGACCATATTGGCTAGTTACTGGTTGCTCAAAAAAATGAAGAAATTGCTCTGTCAGTTAAGGATTCAATCTCATCATAGGGGAAGATTATGAATGGAATAAATCAGTTAGTCAGATATCAGAAATCTGAAAGTGTAAAGTAATTTTGCTATCTTAGAAATTACCTTGTTGCGTATTGCACATATATGATATAAACTTTTGATACATTTTTTGTCTGACTTGTTGTATCAAAAATTCAAAGACTGCAGATTAAGCTATTCATGTGAAATTATGTCACATCTAAATATAACAAATTTTGGAATTTTTGATTAATTTATTTCAGATAAAGATAATCAAATAGCTACAGAATCTGAGAAATATCAGGAAGAATTGGAAATGTTAAAAAAACAATATAATGATGTTCAGGTTACTTATGATGAGACCAAGGTAATTTTAATTTATTTTTTATAATATACCAGTATCAATCTCTGACTACAATTTTGTTCCAACAAGTAACTTTTTGCAATAAATAAACCAGGTACTAAACATCTGAACCGCAAAACAAAAAACAAAACCATACAATACATGTAATCTTAGATTTGTAGCAAATTCAAATAACCGATGATATAAAACAGTGAAATTATTTTGATTAAAGTATATGAATATAAATATGAAAATAAAATGTGGCAAGGTTGTCATACTACATGACTTAATATGGCTTTGTTTTTTAGACTCAACTAGAAGAAGCCTCAGAAGGTCTGGAAGCGGCAGCTAGACTCAGTGTGCAGCTGGATAAGAAAGAAGAAGCAATACAAGCTTTGAGAGATGAGGGTAGGTCTTGATATCTTGTTCATTATCATTGTTATATAAATTATAGTTAACACTGATTATTAATCATAGCCAGTTTTTTGCTCAATCTTTTGCTCAACTGAAAAGTTTTGAAAAGTTTTGAAAAGTTTTGAAAAGTTTTGAAAAGTTTTGAAAAGTTTTGGAGGAAATAACATTCATTTATTCATCAATCTTCACAAAAGAAGAGTATCATATTCGTCATGTGACTCTTTCAAATTGATCTCACCAATAAGATGACTGCTTCTCTTTTAATTTCGATTTATTTTTGACAAAAGATTGAACAAAAAACTGTTTATTATTTTTAATTTCAATTAAGAATTCACCATTTTTCATAGTTCATTGATTCATTATATCCTTAATGCTTTTACTAACACACATAGAATCAATTGCACTAACACCTGAAGCATTTGCTGTCTAACTAATACATACACAGAACTATTGATTTGCTGCATTCGGTGGTCTTGACTAACTCGCATTCCAAAATCTTCATTTTCCTTTTATACTTTCTGTCACCACAAAAATTGTTCCGACTTTCTGATGCAATCGTTTGGAATACAGTTATATTTTGGTATAAACAACAAAAGACAACTTTGATATTTAAAGTGGATGTCAACAGATTATCTTCATCTTATAATATGTTCCAATAAATACAAAAACAGAAAATATTTTGTTGTCTAAATAGTCTTTCTGTTTGGTTACTGGTGTATTCTGTGATACAGGGCATGCTTACTGTCACAGAAACACATTAAATTCTAAATAATCTAAAAAAAATTCTCCCAACAAGAACATACTTATTACATTTAATTCTTTTAATTGCAAATATTTATTTAACTCTTCACTTTTGGCTATTTTTTTTCTATCATCATAATCACATTTAATCACCATTTCCGGCCCCTTCCCTCCCTAATTCTACATGCCCCTCTTCTCCATCCTCACTACCACACTTCCTTTGGGATGCTAACTGCCTGGGTGAACTACAGCTTCTGTGTGGATTAAGGCTTTTTTCAAAAATTTAGCTTTTAAATTTTCGGCTTATTCTAGATTCTAAATTACGCTGCAGTTGAATTTTATTCCAATTTTCAACCATTTGCTTGCTTCGTGTGTGCACAATTTTATAAAACAATGCTGTTTTTAGATCAAATTTAGTCAAAATTAGATTTTGCAATGCTTTTTAGTATTTAAATGCACTTTTCAATGGAGTCATTTTGACTTTTCAGAAGGTTTTTTGCTCAAAATCTTGATTATGTCTTAAATCCAATATGGCCGCCAATTGCGTCTGCAATTTCCAAAATGGTGGAGCACCTGGTTCTGTAATATCAGCTGGTAATCCTGAGTTACTGATTATCTCAGGATTTTGGTTGATATTAAACAAACAGGCTCGATATTCAACAGGCAGTTAGTTTCACCTTATTCATTTCATTATTTCATTCTCATCTCTCTTTGTTTATTGTTGTTTTTGAAATGTTCATGTTATATCTGGGTGGAAAATCCAAAGGGAGAAGTAGGAAATCATTTTAAGAGCAAATTTGCAAAATTTCCAGCATTTAAAGATTATTAGCAGCACTTTGTAGCTAGAATTTGTGTCCATTTTGTTAAATGACCTCTTTCCTAATACTGGTATAGATTATTAGAGTGGTTTGTTTATGAATATGTGGTCGTGTTGAATGTCCAGAAATAAATGATTATTGTATTTGTTCTATGGAATATTGCACAGTGTAGCATGTCTTTAGATGCATGTTAAGTTTTTTATCAGCTACACAATTGACATCCATTTGATGGAAGATTGATGTATATTATATTTGGAATTGACTGGCTGTTGGTTTTGCACATTGATGATGTGATCATATCTCTTGAAATCTACTGTAATACCTAGCCTTATTCTATATCTTTTAGGCAGTTGTGTTAGTGTCTAGCTTTTCAAAAATTAAAATTATTTGGTGGGTCTGTTGAAATTTGAAATTTCTAATTTCTATGGATTAAAAAAATAGTACTTTTTTTTACTTTTGGAAAGCTGAAACAAACATTCCCGGGGCCTTATTCTCGAAAACTTAACTGAAGTTGATTTTAGTGTTCCAGGCATCTGGAAATTTTGAGAATTTTAAGGCCCCTGCCAGAAAAGTTAGAATAGGGCTTGATAATGTCTGATGCCTTAAAGATAATATCTGATTGGAGTGGCTTTAACCCCTTTAACACTGTGTGTGGTTACACTTAACACCTAAAACAGTAACTTTTATTATATATGTTAGAAAATACTTCACTACTCTACACTTGCTGTTTGACTATCCTCCGTCACCTACGTGGATGAACTGGAAAATACAGTGGCCTTGAAACGCATAACAAACCTCTTGTCACTAATAACTTTATGAATTTAACAATTCCTACACTTGGAGGTCTGCAAGCCAAATATCTGTAAGCTCCTCAAAAATTATAAACAATTCTAAATTTAGTCAAGATAAATTCAAAACCAGACCTACAATAATTTAGATTCTTGAACAAAAAAGTAATTAAAATGTGCTTTGCAGAACACAATGACCCAAAGAAATTTTTTCATGGGAAACTCACCACTCATTAATTTAAAGTTACCGAGAAATTTTGATTGACAGCCTTATCTTGATTGACAGCTAATCTTGATTGTGATTGACAGCTAATCTTGATTGTGATTGACAGCTAATCTTGATTGTGATTGACAGCTAATCTTGATTGACAGCTAATCTTGATTGTGATTGACAGCCAATCTTGATTGTAATTGACAGCTAATCTTGATTGTGATTGACAGATTAACAGCTAATCTTGATTGTGATTGACAGCTAATCTTGATTGTGATTGTGATTGACAGCTAATCTTGATTGTGATTGACAGCTAATCTTGATTGTAATTGACAGCTAATCTTGATTGTGATTGACAGCTAATCTTGATGTTTGTGTAATCTCAGCTGGTAATTCTGAGTTCTAATAAATACTAATTTTCTCAAGTTACTTGCCGAGATTATATAAATATTACGTTATACAGCATGAGTTTAACAACATCTTTATAACACCAGCATGATTTATTCACTCCTGTTTTAATACTTTTGTTGTGTTGGTTTCGGAAACGGCTGGGAATATTGTGACAGGCGATGAAAAACACCCTGAAATTTAAAATTGACTCTTCCACATGTATTGCATATTTGAACAAATCTATGTTTAATATATATCATTCTTGCTTAGTTACCCTTGAGTTCAACTTGAACGAAACCAGTTGGGCTGTACACACCAGATCAAGGGTGTCCTAAAAGAAATTTATTCTTCCTTTGTTCCCATATTTATTATAGCTCAAAGATATTCATGCACATCTATGGAGGTTTCTAAAATGAACATGGACAGTCTATTTTGATTTTGGGTGGAATAAATGGTATAGGTGAGCATGTGCAGTTTTAATTGCTATGTATTCTACCCAAAATACCCCAAAATAGACTGCTATATTATTTATGTTAGAAATCATGCTTGATGTGCTAAAATACATATTGAAAATATGCATGTGCGGAAGAGTTCAATAAATATCAAGGGGTGTTAATCAGTTAACTGGCACAATATTTTCAAGCTTGGTGCTTTTGTTTGTGTTTGTTTGAATTTGGCTTTATTCTAACATTGAGCATGCTTTTAACATAACTTGTTTGTGGGTTTGTTGATGGAAAGGGCATGGTTTTAATGCCTGTCATGGTTTGTGAGGTTTGATGTGATGTATACTTTTGAATTTTTTGAGGCATTTGATTGGATTCAGCATGAACTGGTGTTGAACTTTGTGTTACTGTGAGTTTGTGAGATCTCTACTAGTTGAGATCATTTGTTTCTTAATCTTTAGGATTTTAGCTTATGATAATATAGTAACAGTAATTTCATTCAATTTTTTTAACATTTTATGGCTTTTGATAATAACTGCTACAAATTAACCTTTAACAACAAATTTTATCTAATTATGAAGCTTACGACTTAACACTACATTGGAAGCATGTTCTTACATCTAAATTATACCTAATATGGAATTTAACTTAAAATTTGTGACCTTCATATGGGCAGGCTTGGAAAACAGAAATTGAGGAACTCGATTTTATAAAATTGATAGGTTTTGTGATAGAGGGTCCACTATGAAATTAACAAAGTATTTTCTCACCCAGAATTTTGATCTGGGAATATGATACACGTTATCAGAAAGTCCAATATATCTAACGGTACTATGATAGACTAAGATTCAGTTCTATCAGAGATAAGAAATAGAAACTGATTATTGTTCAACTTTCTTGAAAAACAAAGATTTGAATTATTTTGTATCCTGGAAAAAAAATACTTACAAGTTCATTTACACTAGAATTAAACTGATTTGATTTATAATTTTGGATATTCTTGATACAACTGTTAAGTTGGTCAAAACTTTAAAACCAAACATTTATCATTTTGCCATGAAATTTAGGTTGGTTAAACTTTAAAGGGAATGTTTCCTGTAACTGTAAGAGCATGACACTTTAATTCATTGTCAAAATTCAGTATTTTGGCTTCTCTTGCTCTGAATGTTCGGCTGGTAAAACTTTAAGGGGAAATGTTTCCTTATTAAAAAGCGTAAGATTAAATCCATGACTATAAGATCATGATATCTCCAGATCTAATATGGTTTATTGTTAGACGTTCCATGCTGTGTCTGTAGGTGGGAAAAAACTTTAAAGTAAATTGCATGACAATTATCCAATTCATATGATTTCTTCGGATTTAATTTGGTCTAGTATATGGCATTTGTTGCTGCGAATGTTAGATTGGTTAAAATTAAGGGAATGTGTTCTGTAATTGTAAAAGCATGAAATAAAATGCATGACCATGACATCATTGCCGTGAGTATTACATCAGGTACTGAGGAATGTCTCGGTCAGTACCTTCTGTCATATTCTAAGTGATGACGTCTTTCCCAGCACCTTGGCGTCATCTTCCACCGTCAGCACTGTGACAGCATGCTACCACCGCCTTCCATTTTTTTTGTTTTTAATACATAGTTTTCGTAGGATTTAGATTTATTAGTAGTTTTTTTATGAAGTTTTTATAGGTTTTAATTCAACACAGTAGTTTTTGCCATTTTTCTTAACATTTATAGAAAATCTCTCTTGTGGAATTGTCCTTGTTGTGGAATATTTTAGATTTCATCACCCGCATTTTGAGATTTCTCTGAGTGTTTTTTTATCATTGTTTATTTCATCAGTGATGGAAAATTTTCAATTTTTAGCTCTTATTGCACATGTAACATGCATTAGTTGGTGTAAGTATTATGGATGGCAATGCATGTGTATATTTACATCATCAACATCATCAATATACCTGTTATTACCTGAATATTACCTGTTGTATATACCACACACAGCAGTCTACTTAAAATTATAATCTATATCTAATATGATTGGAGGTCATCAGGTTAGGTCAAAAGGTTATTGAGACCAACGTGCAAGAGACCTGTCTGTAGATCCTAACTGAAGTGGCTATGTTAAAAATATAAGCTATTAAAATACAGAACGAAAGTTTGGTCTCTTTTTAGTGAGACTGTACACACAGAGTCTCTTTATATTCTCTGTGTATTTTCAAATTGTACATCCCAGAATCATTCAGTAGAAAAACCATCAACAGTGTGTTTATTCTAATTGTATAAGGACACCAAATTGCCTTGCCATCAATAATTTTGCATGTTAAAAAAATTTGATTTGAAATAATTCTAGTTGTATTAAGAGAGAAGAGTTTAAAACAGGCTGAAGAAGAGATTAAGAAGTTATCATCCAGTACAGAGGCTAAAGTAGACAAGTAAGATATTTATTCCTTCCTTGTTTCATTGAAACTTAAAAAATCCTGAATATAAAATCAAGAATTCATGAAAAACTTCTTGATGTAGATAGGTTAATAACCATTATAATCATTGCATAATGTATAAACATTCATATACTACATTTGACTACATTAGTTAGCAATTAAATTTTATTGCCTCTATTCCCTGCTCCGTCTTCATTAGCTCACAAGGTGCAGAAAAGTAGGAAGTAAAACACCATCCATTTCATTTCATTTCTATTCCCTGCTTTAGATTCAATGAGATGCTTTGATTCAAACTTTTGTTTATTTCAGAGAGTTAATGAAAAACTTACTACTTGGCTATTTTACAACACCACAGAAAAAACGGAACGAAGTGGTACATACTATAGGTGGTGTTCTTAACTTTAATCCTGAAGAGTTCGATAAGGTATGTTCTACGTCAATGTCCTTAAAATAGAGTTATATACAAAGATACTTGATATATTGGTGAAATTAGAACTGTACACAAGGGAAGACATCCTCAAAACACAAGAGTGCACATATCAGTACTTTTCATAATTGTCTTACTGTATGTTTATTTATTTAATAGATTTCTGCTGCAGAAGGGTCTGGTGGTTGGGTACCAGGATTATTTAAATTTGGCAGGTCGACAGGCCCCACCCCTCCAGCTACACCTGTTAAATCAGGTAGTAAGGCTCCTAGTTTTAATCAGGTAAGTCAAGTTTATATATATACTAATCTCTTGAGGTGGGCTTAGATCAATCTTATCACAGGCAGAATCGGACAATCGGAGAGCAACAGCATCTAGAACCCTGGCCCCGGATTCTCGAAACAATCTTAGCACTAGGATGTCCTAGGTTCTTATCTTCTAACATTGATTCTAGGACATCTTAGCGCTAAGATCATTTCGAGAATATGGCACCTGGTTCCCAACCTGTGGTGTTTTCATTCCCTAGTGGTGTGGGACTAGGGTGTCTGGGGTGTGGCTAACTGGTGTAGGAGAAGAATTTATTTTGAATTGAGAGAACACCTCACATCATCACATGCTGCAAATATGGATGAAAAACTTATTGGGGGTGTGAAAGGTCTAAATGGTTGCTCTAGGGGTGTGAAGGCTGAGAAAGGTTGGGAACCACTAGATTAGAAGAACCTGACATCTGATTTTGAGTTTGTTTAATACAGGTAACAAATAGAACTTGATCATTTAATTAATCCATAATGTCTGTCTTTCTTTATAAATCATTTTCAACGCATTTTTTACATGGAAATTTATTTTAATTTCAGTCTTTCTCCCAGTTATTTGTGAAGTTTTTAGAAACAGAATCTACCCCTCCCCCACCACCTGTCCGACTGCCGGCAGAACAAATGGCTCAAGAATTACAACAAAAACATCGCGAGAAGGATCACACAAAACCACCCACATTTAATCCCTTCACTGCCCCACGTCATGTTGCCATGCCAATAAATCTTGACGGCAATAAATCCAAGGCAACAGACTCCCATATTTTAATGGCCTCGTCAAATACACCAAGTTTTACCCCTATGTTTACTATGCCTGCATCCACTGAAAATATCAGTCAATCCAGCTCTGGTAGATCAACACCCTCTAATTCCAGTAGCGCCATTCTCAAAAATGTCTTGGAAACTAGGTGACCTTGAACTTTGATTAATTGAGTGAATTTTAGTACCTTTCGGTTTAAGATATTCATTTGTCCATCTTATACCATGTTTTATATCAGTTTTCAGCACAATGGGTTCTATTGCTTTAAATATTAAACAAGTGATGAAAAATGAGAAATAACAGTTTAGGCTTCTTGTTGGTTGATTTTCTGTGTGAGATAAACATACAGGGTGTTTTGAAATTAGTTTGATTTTTGCATGATGAGATTCAACGAAATGAAGTTTGATTCTCAGCTTCTATGTAATATGTTGATACCTTAGCCATTAAGAATTCAGGCTGTGGTACCATCAAGTCTAAACCATGCCAAATTTGTGATACTTCCTGGTTAATACAACCAGGTCAAAACCTGTATTCAGGATGCTATGACTATGGTAGATGCAGTAATTTGGAAACACACTGTATATTTTGAGAAACAAAGTTGCCATAAACTAGTAAACCATGGGTTTTCGACTGTCACCCAGGTATTCTTAGAGTTTGTTGTGAATTTATACAGTTATACTGTTGTGATAATTAATTGTTGGAGGGGAAGGGGATATAAAGATTTTACACTGAACTTTGCTTAACATAAAATGGTTAATAGTCTTTATCTCACAATTTTGATCGAAGTAAAATAAAATCATCCCACTCTTCTGCACCTAATTGAACTAATGAAGACAGGGATGAACTATGTAAAGATATATTGAAGGGTTGATGTAATTTAATAACTAGCTTCACTTCTCATACTGTTCATGCAACTTAAAATATAGTGAATACTTTTTGGGAAAAAAGGATTGAAATCATCCTCGCACATCATCTCTTCATATCCGAAACTGTTACATATATTTATCATGGTTCACTGTAGCAGGTAAACAATGTTTAAGGGACTGAGGTAATAAATATTCATGATGTCATGTGATTTTCAAACCATCCAATCAACACACTTCTACTTAGTCTTCTTTTATAATTAGAAACACATGCAAAACCTATGAATATTAAATGAATTTGAAAGGGTTTTATTGATGGGTTGAAATTCATTTCCTCATTATTTGGATAAAGTGAAGCACTACCCCATTTATATATTGATGAAGCCATTCTGAGATATATAATGGTAATGTTATATATTTGTTCTATTAAGTGTATTGTATATTATATTATTGTATATCAGGTTATTGTATATTATCATATTGTATAAATGTTGATGTATAAAATTCAGGGATTATATGGGGGAATAAATTATTTTTATTATACACTTAGTGTTTTTCTTTAAAAGTCCACCAGTCATGTCTGACTAGAGCTCTAGACTTATTAAATTTTCCAGCCTAAACCCATCTTCGCAATGTCAAGCTATTATGAACTTCGTCTTATACCTTGACTATAACAGCCAATCAGAGTCCATGCCTAAAAATACTGAAAACATGGATTATAATTTATAGACTTTCTGATGTGGGCTCTGATCAACTGTATTCGCTGCCATACAATCCAATCAAATTGCTGCATTAACAAGTGGCTATTTCAGTCAAGGTATAAGAAGAAGTTCCCAATAGCTTGACATTGTGAAGATGGTCTATACATGGAAGACATATGAAATGTCTTGATATGATTTTGTTCACAAGGACATCAGTTTATTTTAGTGCTACAGGTTGGAACAAAAAAAAATTTTTGAATTCAACTCAACTTTAATGGAATAATAAAACCAAAATATACACAAAGTAATAATATACAATATCATATACAACAAATCATAATTCAATCATACTAAATCAATTACATTAAAGGGCACCTGCATCATTTCTCTAAAATTATAACAATTTATTTAGTAAGTAAGACAATTTATACATTAAAAATTAAAATATCAGTCAGATCGTGAGTGGTTAAAATTTACAATTAAAAGTTTGACAGAAATTGAATAAATTTAAAACAAATCAAAATGGATCATAACAGAGCATCACAATACTGTTTCACAGAATATCTTACTCTGATCAAAAGAAAAGTAATGGTTGTATTGAATCATCTTATTTTTCAAATGCTTAAGGTGATAATAGAGGAGGTAGAGTGTAGGAGAGGGATTAACGATTCTAACAGTAGAGAATAGTAGCAAATTCTGTCCGCATCATGTCTGGACCTGTACCTAAGTGTGTTCACTTCTTCTATTTTCTACTGTATTGATTATTCCGCATCGTACACCAAACCGTACACCATACATCATCTATTAGCAGCTTAATACAGGTAAGTAAAAACCTTGTGACAGTCTGTGTTTGATGTGAAGGCAATAAGAAGAAGCAGTAGAGCATTGATCATAGAACATGTATTTCTAGTATGTTCAGAAGTAACGTGTCTTTGTATTTCAGTATATTAACATGATAAAACAGAAGACTTTAAACAAATTTTAATCACAAGATATTTTGTGAAACCACAGCAGTTACTCATGTTAAATAAATAATTAAAGTGATATCAAAGACATGTTCATCAGGCAAGCATTTGTTCACATATAGACTTGATCAATATGACAGAACAGTAAGAATTACTTTAGTCAAGCAACAAGATATCTGTACATTCCAGTCAGATTTAAAACAAAAACAGTTCACTTTATTTAAAGTAGTATAAGTAGAAATTGAAACTATACAAACAAAAACTTGTGTTTATTTCTACTTAAAATACCACAGGGAATAGTTTCTATTAGTATCTATTCTTCTTGAAATAAAGTTAACAGCTTGCGTTTTCTATTTTAAATTGGTCCTAGATATGCACAAATATCTTTACCTGTATCCCTTATTAACAGTGATGAAACTCTTTACCAAGAAATAAGTAACAGAATGATGATAAACCACCTGAGAGAAATAGAGACACAACTTTACATATTTCATTTTCTATAGAATCAAATTAAACTCAGCAGATTTCTTTTTTTTGCTTTTATAGTATGGTCATTATAACAAACTCAATATTTGAGACATTTTCTATGATTATATTATATGTGGACATACAGTAGGAGTTCAATGTTTTAAGCTACATGATTATTCTATCGTAGAGGAACCAGGTGTCAATTTTATAATTTAAATAGGGTATTTTAAAATTAAGCGCTCTTTTGCTGGTCTCACACTGTGGCAAATATTCTAGCAAATATGAATATTTGAATGTTGTGGTGAATTCGCCCCAAAATTGGATAGAGAATATTTTCATGCTGGTTGGTTGTCTCTCTATCTCTTGAATAGTAAGGAAGGGGACGCGGCAAAAGTTACAAACACCGTTATGAATGTTGCCAACACTTATGCACGCTTTACCAAAGTTACCAATGGCTTACCAATGCTAATACAAAATTGACAGCGAATGACCGTCTTCTTCTGAAATTTATGAAGTGCTTCCTAAATTGACCTAATGACTTATGAACGTTCTGGATCTGTTACCAACGCTTAGAGACACGGTGAAGTGTGAGCGATTGTCAAAGATTTCTATTTGTAAGCATATTCCAGCATATTCGCTACAGAGTGAGACCAGCATTAAGGAGATATATAATAGAACTATATCCATTAAATTATAACATCTTACCTTCAGTCAATAAAATATGCCATTTCAAAACAAAATAGAAAAATTTTACATATCCAACAAAATACAAGAATGTTTCAACAAATTCTTTCGATTTGGCAATGTTTAAAATAACAACAGAAACCTGAATAGAAACAGAAAAAACTTTGATAACAGAACAGAGTCAAGTATCAGCTATTTTACAAAGCTTTTAATTAGTAATTTATCACAATAGTTCAACTGAATGGGTTTCAAAAATCATTATTAATTTCTTCATCTTTTAAAGCAGTAACTATGCCTTCATAACGTCTCATTCACAGTCTAATAGAGGCATTAATTCATTTAGCTTCCATTAATCAGATTAAAATGTAGGTCTGATGTTTGGTTTCATTTTTTTTCTATGAGTAACAACACATGCCATTATATGATCTTACACAATTCTGCTTCAAATCTTGTTCTGTGTAATTTTTACCTAACAGCATCAAGTCCACTCTGTTACATGTGGTTCGATGATACAGAAGTCATCTAATACAGTTAAGTAAGCTGTAATTTGATTGGCTGAATACAAATTGACCCAGAACAGGAGATGTGTAAAAATGTTGTTAGATCATGCATGGCGAGTGGAATTGCCCACAGAATTGAGATTTGTATTTTTATTCGATTAATTTCAAAATAATTGATAAAACCCATTCAGTCTGTAAGTATTATAATTAGTTTATGATATGCCAGTATATTGAATAAATTCTAGTCACACGTACTACAGATGACGTTTCTATCCCATAATATGAATAGTACTATACAATGATACATGGTGATGTATGATTCAATTTGAGCTTTTTAATGAACAATGATAATGATACATAATGTTATTTACATCACAGGCATTAGTACAAAAATTTCCTTTCTCTCTCCCACATAGGTTTCCTTTTTCACTTTTAAATTTGCACAATTTGCCACATGAATAATGTATGAAAATGTCTAAACTTATTAAAATAATTTCTGTAACCCTAAGTCAAAAGAAGTGAGGTTTTCCTACAAATGCCTGTGTTTACATTGATGATCCTCTACCACAAAACTAAGCCCAGTTAAAAGGCAAATTTTTTCAGATGTGACGCTCCAATCATAGGGCAGTTTAAGAAAGGACCCTAAAGGGCAATCTCTGCTAGTCGCACATCTCTGTTATAAAAATTGGCCCAAATGTGACTTGACTTGTGGTTGAAGATGACAATAAAAAATAAATACAATAGAGTTTAAAATATATGACGTGGTTATTTTTAAGTTAAGCCAGTAGGGACTATACACTGATATCTTGAATAGTAAGATATCATTTTATGCATTAGAGCATAGCTTTTCCATAGCCAAACATAGCTTAGAGATTAAGAGACAGCATTTTTTGTCAATTAATATGGAAAATTGCACCTTGTCATGCTTCAAAGAGTAAAGTCTTTGAATGGCATTTAGCTATTGTAAGTACGATATATAGACATAGCTTTATGGAACAACAATCACTAGTTAAAGTTTTATACAACGTTTTTACATTATTTCTCTCATTGTCTCTGATATATGTTCCATAAAGCTGTGAAAATTAAGTGTCATTGTTTTATTTTATTTTATTTCTTGCATTGTAATATCATTAAGATTATTAACCTCCATCTACAAATAAGTTATATTGCATACCTTGAGACTAGTAATTAACTCTTATAAACTTAATCAATTCAAATCTTAATTCAAATCTTAATTCAAATACAGCTTGATATGTAAAGAGGTTTTCTAAAAATTTATGTGTTTATGGGACACTGATAGTATCAATTTACACCATTCCAATTTTCAATCAGACATCTGTGGCTCTTGCAATTCCACTTAAATTATGTGTCACTATACCAAAATATCAAAATCAATATCAATATCAATAGCAGCTTTTGGGATAATGACGTCATAAAACACTTAGTTTTAGTAGAATTGTAAGAACCACAGACGTCTGATTGAAAATAGGAATGGTGTAAATTGATGCTATAAGTGTTCCCGGATATACATAAAAAAAACTCTCTTAACAATCTCTTTATAATGAATTTGATACTAAAATAATGTTATAAGGAATGCTTTTAATAAATATTTTTATTTTTGACATTCTATTTCAAGCCATTTTAATTATCATACCATTTTATAACAATTCATTATCTTATAATTCATAGAAATAATCACATTAAAAAAATACAGAAATGTCGTAAAAAAAATAATAATGCTTCTTGACTACTTGGTTTAATGAATTCTCAAGTTTTAAAAACAAAATAAAACTGAGAAATAACAGTTGTTATGGATATAGATTTCTATTTATTATTTAAACACAACATTTCATTACACATTAATACAGGTAATATTCTCAAGTGTTTAAATAATCAATAGAAGTTAATATCCATAAAACTGTTGTTGCTTAATGTCCTGTGATACTTCTAAATGTCTTACAAGGATTATAACCTAAATCTACTAATGTTTCTTGACTATTATATTTAGAAAATCTGTTTAAAAATACAAACTAGAACTGTTTTAGTGTTTTATCAAGTAATTTCTTCATTTTATCAATAAAATTAATCCAAATAAAAATTCAAATAAAACTATCAGGGGTTCAATTATATTACAGATCATTAGTTCCTATTCACAAAACATCAAGATGGGTTTGTCATTTCAAGATTAAGATAAATGTAAACATACAGTACTTAATAACGCCCGACTGATTGAAAATATTGACCAATCAGATGTCTAGTACAAAGTAAAATTCAAAATTACAAACTTTCTGACAGCAGACTTGAATATTCAATATCATCATGGTAACATTAACAAACTCTATAAGTTCTGGCAGCATGCTCTCGAAACAATCTTAACACTAGGATGTCCTAGGGTTTTAACCTCCAACACTGTTTCTAAGATATCCTAGCACCAAGTTCGTTTCCAGAATATGTGGCCAGGGATTTGACGTTTTATTACATTTACATCCAATGATCAAAAGGTTCAACAAAGTTCAATGATATTTATAACGTAACCATGGAAATATAAAACAATTTAATACCATTAAAACATATAGCTGCAAATTTCCATGGAAACACATACACACATTCCATCAAAATATACAGCCCATGGAAACACATGTCAAAGTTTTCATAGCAACACTTTTCAAATATTCCACATTTACAACATTCACTTCCTTTTATAAACATCCACATTTAAAAATACCTGCATTTCTTCAAAAAAAAACCAATTATCAACATTACCAGTAAAAACATTTATAACAATTCGATGATTTCCATGGAAACAGAATAAAAGTTAATCAGCATGATCTTGGAATATTAATTTCACGTAACCAGGACTACCAGTTAAGGGTGAAGCACAGAAGGGACATATTGCCCGGAAGCCATGACAACCATGGGGAACAGCCACATGAGCCCAATACCTAAAAAAACCAAACAAAAGTAGATAGATTCAAAATAGCTTGCCAGGCAAGGTAACATACAACTTCAACAACTAGTGAGTGATATAGTATTTCATAGCATTTCATCTACCGATCCAACCAAAACTTCATCTTCATTTTACTTATCAATAGTTTCACTTTGATCTTTTTCTCTTTTGCAACTGTTTACTTTTGAAACAAATAACCAATAACATCACTTTTAATGGAAGTACAAAATTTAACATAGCAACAAAAAGTGATAAAAATGATAAGTTTAAGAATCCTTGATATATCTAAATACTCAGTAGCAAGTATTAGTGGATCAAATAGTATTAAAACAGTTGTTTCAATATAAAATGATATTAAGGATCTTACTTGACTGTATTTTCCGAAGCTACGTGTCCACAAGGATTAAAACAATATGTCGGATGTTCAGAATCCATGTATAAACTTAATTCACATCCCATCTGTAATTTTACAAACGGTCCAACCTACAAATATAATATCAAATTGATTAATAACATCAATAACTGTGAAAAAATATGAAAGATAAGATGTATTTTTGCCTTGCTTACGACAAGAATGGGCGTTAAGAAAATTTTTGACAAGACAGAAACAAGGTTTCTCTCAATTAAGGATAACATTTATGTCCAACTCTCAATGATGTTGCCCAAACTGTATAACAGTGTCTCAGTTTTCATCTCGTACATCAATGGCAAAAAGACTGGATTGGAATATTAACCCAGAGCGCTTTATTTCCCAGCAACAACAATCCAAATCACTACCAATCGAGCTATTTCACTGCAACAAGCTAGTATGTTTTAAGTGCTTTTCTCCTGAATCAAAAGGTTTTCAAAGCAGGGAAGATGGGACTGTAAAAAAAGGAGACATGATGGAAGAGAAATAGAATTACATGTATTTTACTTATAGTTTAACTGAAAATAAAGAAAGGAAGTGAGAGAGAAATGAATACAGATAGATTTACTTACAGTTAAACATAAAGGACAAGTTCTGGTACTCTCTGACTCTGTCACTCCCCACTGATGTTTACCATGAACATGTCCACAATGTAAATACACATATGGCTGTTTATCGTGTAAATTTAACGAACCACGTGTTGGAAGGACTAAGGTGTTCAAGCCTACTGGACATTGTGGACGTCCAGCATTTATTTCACTCACTAAATGTTCAAATTCATGTTCACTCTGTAATCAAGATAAATAGAAAGTGTTCATGAAGAAAATTCATACACTAAGAGTGCATTCTAACAATCATTAAATGGGAGGGGAGGCATATAGCGCCAACAGAATTGTCAATGGGGCTCTTAGGCAAATCTTTCCCCTATGTAAAATGATTTAAAATGTGAGGATATGGGGGCCAACGCCAAATCAGCTTTTGTTTTATGATTCAATTTTTTTTTTACAGAATTATACTTTGAAACCTTAGACTGGTTTCACCTCTAGAAAGTTAATTGTTCTTTGTTGTGCAAATATAATCCAGATCTAAACATCAGTGGTCATTGGCATAATTTAGAATGTAAATTATTTGGAACTATCCACATTTCGTTTTGATGGTATATGAACAGAAATCGAGTTTCCATTGTGAATAGTGGTACAAATGTCTAAAAAGATGTTCTATCATCTAGTAGAGGCAATATTTATTCCACTAAGTTGAAAGTTCAAAATTTGAAGAATTAAGACAAAAACTGACCGGTGCTGAAATCAATCCTAAAGCTGACCTCCATAACATGGTAGCACCACATAAATCTATCAACGTACCATCACGTAATATATTGTCTTCATCACCTATCTGAAATAATATTGATAAACTCCTGTTAATATTATGATAGGATGTTCCAGATAGTAAAGATCTATTGGAATAGATATGCTGCTAAAGCAAAATGTCTGCAGATGACGTCTACAATAATTGGTAGAAGGTCCTTAGTCATTAGATTTGCAAGATTAGGGCTACCAAGGAAATGGTTTTCACATCATTTACAAGTTGGATACTCGGAAATCTCAAACGTTTTGTTATTTCAATATCTTTCAAGATGTGGGACAACATGGCGTCATAGAGCCCTACTAATGAACTAGAAATTAGTCGTCTTTACCTGACAACCTTTTAAAGGTGAAGGTCGTGACTCTCGTAATGGAAAGACCCCTCCCCCTACGGACACCTCTCTCCATACACCCGGTTTAGAGCTAGCAGCAAATCCTCCCTGAGGTTTCATTATAAATACACCATTAGTTGTTAATCCATCTATCTCATCTCCTGAATACCACTTCACAGCCTTCTCCTGGAATGCATTAAGGATTTTTTTTGTTTTTGAGTTCATTTGATTGACAAGCTATGTAGCTATTACAAATCATCTGTCAAGAATTGCGTCTTCTTGAGTGTTTACAAGCATTATGAACATCAAGGGCAATAACTAAATATTTTTCAATTTTTTTTTATTTTCAACACTGTTATCCTTGAATGACAATCTACATTTTCATCAAGTTTTGTACAAATATGTCAAGAATTGTGCCCTTTAGAGAGCTTGACAAATGGATCGGCGAAGATGGGTGATGATATTTCAATGGTCATATAAAAACTACAGCATATAATGAAATCACTGTGGTATCGGTCATTTGCCCAATTAAAGTTTACCTATTTAAGCTGACTTCTATCTACTTACCCCTAAAAATATATTTTTGCCTGCATCGAAGCCGGCTGCTATAATACGGCAGGTATAGGGTGGATTACGATCAACAATAATACGACAAGCGAACCGTGATATTGTACTCTGGGTAACTATCTCACTATTACTTCGTACTGGACCTGGTATCGTATCCATGACAACATAATCTATAGGATTCTCAGAGGATCTTCCAATCTAAAATAAGAAATATATTTTAATTAGGATTAGTATCAAGCTATTACTTTACTATCTTTAAAGGGATTGTAAAGAGTTTTTCTTAATTTTTTATATGGGCACTGATAGCATCAATTTGCATCATTTCAATTTTTAATTAGACGTCTGTGGTTCCTGCAATTTCACTGGAACTAAATGTTTGATGATGTAACTAATCAAGAAATTTGCTTTATCATATAAGGCCGTTAGTGATGAGTAGATGAACATATAAGTAATAATTAGATCATATTAAGTGACATTTTCGTGGTTTAGAGTGGGCAGAGGAAGCTAACAAGCCCCCATCTTAACCACAAAAATGTCACTTACTATGATCTTACTTACACTAGCTGTCAGTCAAAATGTCACTTGATTGAGAAATTCTTAATGAAATTAATTTTCACTTAATACAAAATTGAGCCATTAATGATTGGATGAAAAGGTGGGTTAGGTTTTAAAGCTATGAATATAGTCTTTATGTGAACAAAATGTGTATTCAGTTCATAAACTAGTCTAATGTTTCTGTTAATCTCAGCATTGAAGAGGGAAGAGAAAATGAATGTTCAAGAGGCCTGTCGTTAGACCTTACTATAGTGGCTATATCAAAAATAAAGTTATTAAGAAACGGAAAGAAAGTTTGGTCTGATTTTAATTAGACTGGTTAACCTGATGACAGATGACAATATACCTCTAAGATAGTCAACTAAGATATTTATTCAGACAGACAGAAGAATTAAAATAACTTGTTTAGATCCGTATTTACATTGTGTGTATTTTTACTCCAGACAATAACATAAATAATACTGTCAATAGATATACTTATTCAGTCTCCAGGTATTTCAATTAGTAAAATATGGCCCATTAACTCAATATAATAAATATTCTAAATTTCTAACAGGGACATTTTGGTGTAAAACTAAGAAGTTTTTCATTATTCTTGTCAATTAAAGATGGGTTTCCTTATTTTTTAGTGTCAAATTAAGCAAACTATTTGTTAAACTTATTAAATTTGTAAATACTTCATCATATCATTATGTTCTTATTGCATATTATAAGAGTTTTAACCAATCATAAATGTCCATGTAAAGCCAGTCTGGATAAACAAAAAAAGGCTTTTTGACCTTTCTTGATCAGTCACTCATTGCTGGCAATTCTCTTCTAATTTAGTTAATAATGAATTAATTATGGACATGTGAGACAAACTGATATTTTTCTAAGTCATTAGAACCCCTCTACTTTCTATTTATCAAAGTATTAGCATTTTCATTTTAATAAATGAATATATGGGAACCCATCTTTAAAGACCAATGAAATAGACTCTTATATTTTGTCTCTATTTGGTAAAGACCAAAAATTTAGTTAATGCAGTTAAAATAAACATGTTTCATTTGAGTAACATGTAATAACTGTAATTCGACACTGATTCATTAGCTCTATCAATTAGGTTCCATCAAAGTAGGATCTAGCATTTCATTTCATTAAGTACCGACCAAAAAAATATTGGTTATAGACTTAGTTCGTTTGTTGTGTCTTTAACTTGTTTAACAAACTATTATAAAGTAGGTGTACAAATCCAAAGTGTTTCTGTCGCCAAATTAATTCAGGGACAAAAGAGAGTAATAGATCTACTTAATTTCATTAGCCTAGTAACATAATGATCAGCAAAATAGGTCAAACAAGTCTCCTTTAATCAACTCCGCATAAATAACAACAAAATCAGATAAAACTAATTTCATTAGCTTAAGATAACAAATCATTGTGTACAATGTATGAGATGTAAATCTCCATTTCATTTCGTTATCCTAATAAAGAAAATGATAACCATTATTGTTCATGAAATTTATTTCATTTTCATGAATAAACAATGTGTAAATGAAATTAATGGAGATTCACATTCTACTTTTTTGAACCTATTGGGTTAATTATGACTGGCAATGCCATGCAGTGTGCAAAGAGGGAAATTTTGTCACGACCGCTGCAGCAGCAGCCCAATCTTTTCAGTTTGCAACCTTCAAGGGATATTTAACATGCATATCCTGTAGGACTGGAGGCCTTGTTTTATTGTCGCATCTGAACGACTAGAATAAAAGCTGATCGATTGCCTGAGAGTGAGGAAGTTCAAAGAAACTCTCTATGAAAAGCACTGACCGATGTCACAAATAAAGAAATCTGCTTAAAATAAGGTGAACACTCCATTTTATTCCATTAACTTTCTACAGCAATGCCCAACCAAATAGAACAAAACTCTCATATGATTATCTTTGAGAAGAAGTGGCATGTAGAACTCGACTTCATTGTTAGCTTCATGTATATAGAAAGGACTGTAACAATAACTAATCAAGAATTTAACTCTAACACTTGCTATAAATGAAGTAGGGGAGACTGGGGAGACTGGGTCAAATCCTGTTCAAATCACTGAGACACTTTGTTCCATAGAACTTGTAGCCTACTTGTAAATTGTCAAAAGAAAGTAGGACACTTATTGATCAGTCTCTTGCTTTAAACTTCAAATTCCACAAAACCAAGCTGAATTAAATACTCTATGTCTTTATCATCAACATCAAAGCCAGATAATTAAAATCTCCAACAAAGATATTACATGAGAACTATAGTAAAATAAACAGTCTGTCTGACTCATACTTAAAGGGACAGGTGCTCCATATCTGTGGTGGATTTAAATAATCTTCAGAAGTACCAGAAATGTACAAAAATGCTGCATAATTTCTTTAAAAATACTTTAAACTAGGAATTTTACTCACTACTTCTATGGCACCTGTGATTTTCTGTATCATCCCAACCAACATTGTCCATTGACTGGTTCATACAGCCAAATCAGCAATCTAGAGCCCAATGGGTTTGACAAATTACGAGATAGCATTCTTGTCAGATGACTGGTAAATGAAGCCAAAAAAGGGTTGCTTCTAGAGCTCTAGTAAGACATGACTGGTGAATGCAGCCCAATCAACAGTCTAGAGCTCTAGTCAGACATGAGTGGTGAATGCAGCCAAATCAACAGTCTAGAACTCTAGTCAAACATGACTGGTGAATGCAGTCAAATCAACAGTCTAGAACTCTAGTCAGAAATGACTGGTGAATGCAGCCAAATCAACAGTCTAGAGCTCTAGTCAAACATGACTGGTGAATGCAGTCAAATCAAAGTCTAGAGCTGATATATGACTGGTGAATGCAGCCAAATCAACAGTCTAGAACTCTAGTCAGATATGACTGGTAAATAAAATCAAATTAACAGTCTAGAGCTGATATATGACTGGTGAATGCAGCCAAATCAACAGTCTAGAACTCTAGTCAGATATGACTGGTAAATACAATCAAATTAACAGTCTAGAGCTGATATATGACTGGTGAATGCAGCCAAATCAACAGTCTAGAACTCTAGTCAGATATGACTGACGAATGTAGCTAATGAACTGTGAACTCTAGCTAGACATGACTGGTGAAACCAACCAATTCTACAGCCATGAGATCTAATCTGTAGTCAGTAAAATTGGTAAACACGACCAAATCAACAATCCGGATCTATTCTGGCTCAGTCTCAATTCTTTCCACTACCCACCCTGTGACAGTGTCAATTGAATATTTGTCGAAGTAAGAAGATCTATTGTAGCCTATGTGTTTGTATCAATGAATGGCTAGCTGTCTCAGTGTGAGGGCTGACCACGGGACATACTGTCTATTATCACTGGAGTGTGATCAACCCCCACCCTCCTTATATCAACAAACCCTGAACAATACACAACAATTCACATCATTCCTATACAGGGTAGGAAGAGATCAAAATATTCCATGTTTCTGCACCCAAGTGGACTAATGAAGACACCATGTAAGAGAGAAAGAGAAAATCTTTTTTTTTCAAATGAATAACTGAGGTCCTGTCGACAAGTTGATCCTTGTCCACTTAAGAAAAGTTTGCCAGAACTACAGAATAACCCTAATTCTCTTCTTCATGCTATTGAATCTATCAAAGTATTTAGTACATAGGGCGTCTGTCTTCTGATTCAATTGTACCAGGGTTCCGAACCTTTTGGATTTTTCATACACCACTTTTACATTTACATGTACTTAGTACCCCCGCAGCCAGACTAATTAAAATCCTGATGCCTGTGCCTGTGCTTTCAAGAGTTGGCCCAGTGTTGGCTTTCACATCCTAATAACTAAATATACATGAAATTAATAACGGCTGAATAGTGTTCAGTCTGTAAAATGTTTTCATTAATTTTCAATTATTCCCTCAAGATTATAATTAAAAACCAAACATTCAAAACAAAGCAATAACTGTGGTCCCCAAGATCTCTTTATTTTGATAAGACATTATACCATTGGGATACAGCCTGTCTGAAACATAGACTAATTATTCTAAATATTACATGTCCAGAGAGGTAATAATTATATTCTATCATGATATACATCCCCATCTTTACACTAACAGTTACATTGTGATCTTGGCCAGTGCTTCTATGAGATTTTGATTTCAATTCTCACATCATATCGATGGTTTTCCACCTGTTTTTGTATATTTCCCCATCATAGTTTGCATGAAAACTATATCACTAGATATGAAAAGTGAAACCAGGATTGGATATCAGGCAGTCACAGGTAGTATGGAGTACAATGCTGCAAAAAATTCTCCAAGAACTCAGAGACAATGTTAGTCAAGCATGTATAGTGTAGTCATATGAGACATATATGTAGTTGGATAGATTTTTTTCATAACTTGTGACAAATCAAATGTCCCAAAGAAAAAGTGCAAATGTCCCTGTGGTTGAAAACCTACACTAAATCAAATTTAGTCTATGCCAGATCCAGCTTTGGGTATTAAATATGTTACATATTTTTAGAGATATAGTCAATATGAATTAAGCCCTGCCATAATGTTAATCAAATATTAGACAATATAATCCATTCAACTACTGCCCATTGATTAACATTTGAGCTCTGAACACATAGTTGAAAATATTTAAAATCATATTATAGTAGTATTTCACACCATCTATATAAATCATAATGAATATTTAAATGACTTAATTTTAAATTTTAAAAATAGAGAATTTCTCCTCTCAATTGAGCTAATTCAGCATGTTATGACATAAAAAAACGTATGTTATCTAAGGAAATTTTACCAAGATTGAAAAATGCAGCAATTTTTTGTCAAGAAAGGCTAAAAAGCCTAGGATTATTGTCCTCTCTGATCAACAAGAGGTATTTTCTAATAGTATTTCCCATTTTCTCAATGTATTATATTGGACCAATGAATACATATAAAGATCTGAGTTTAAAATCTGAAGAATGGCAGGTTATTTGTGCCAAAAGTCAGTACAATGTGTTGGCAGTATCTTACATTAAGAATCAGACATATGTCTTTAGTAAACGTTAAAATACACAGAGAGCTCTAGTATGCATAGGACTGACTTATGACACAAATCCCCCACCATACTTAACCAAACCTAACGCACTAATGAGAATATTTCTAATCATGTACTAGTTATATTTGACACTGTCTATTTATTCAGATAATAATGATGACAAGGCCATACAAAATAGTTCACAATGTGCAACCTGCACTGTTTACACTAATTATGTCAATACAAATACAACAGGACATAGAAATATTAAAACAGACCAAGGTTTGGTTGAGATGAAGTTTGCATTTGGATTCAAAAATCTAGCTTAAAATTGTTTATTTTTGGAAATTCTATTTCACTTGATATGATTCACACCCACAGCATTTAGTACATAACAATCCCAGAGTCAGGTATCATGTAGGTTGCATACAATGTATAATATTAAATGACAGAATTAGTATGAATGAATGAATATGTAGGTAATGGACAATATGGATGAATGAAAGAATGAATGAATTGAAGGATGAATTGATAATTGAGGATGGATATATGAATGAATAAACAAATGAATGAATGACTTAATGGATGGGGTGCAAACTTTAAACAATTGGACGAATGAATGAATGAATGAATGAATGAATGAATGAATGAATGAATGAATGAATGAATGAATGAATGAATGAATGAATGAATGAATGAATGAATGAATGAATGAATGAATGAATGAATGAATGAACTGTCAAAGGTACCGTACCTGAAACATGTCTGTATCTTCATCATTTTGATATTCCACTATAATAGCTTTATTTCTAGACAGTGTGTAGGATACTGAGTGGAGAGCTGAATCTTGAACTGCCTGAAATAATCATACAAAATATTTTATGAAAAAGGAGCTCATGACACAGGTAAAATGATTTATTTCATACTAAAGAGAGGAAAATGCACATCTCCATCAAGCAGATAACAATATCCTAGGTCAAAAAAACTTCAAAGCAATAATAACTTGGAAGCTAGAGAAAGGTCAGGCTTATACGTCTGAGAATCTGTAATGCTAATGCTATCGTTTATTTCACTGTTTGAAAGGGATAAAATACTGAATTTTTAAGAATATTGAAGTTGAAGATGATTCAAGAAAAGATGGTGATTAGTGACAGAGTATTGTCAAAAAATAACAAAGTATCGAGGTAATGTATATTACAGAAGTGGCTGCCAGATATTCTTAGTATTTATGGTTATCTAGAGATTTCTGACCCCTGGCTCTAGAAAACTGTTCAGAATACCCACCTTAGAAGACTGTGGACAGGTGACAAGATGACGCCTGAATGGTTTTACACCGTTGGCTTTAACTCGTTTATATAATATATATTTACTCTTTCTTCTACCTTTATCACCGTTTGGTAGGTGGCCATTATAACTGAAATAGAGAATGGTAATTACATGAGGTTGTGTTTTTTTACGTGCAAATTTTCGACGCCTTTCTGAGCTAACTAGGTATAAAAGATCGCACTCTTATCTCTGATCGGTAGAGAAAGATTATAACTACTGAAATATACATATTGTAATGACATGAGATGAAGTATTGTACACCTTAATTTTCAGATTTTTGATTCCTTTCTAAGCTAATGAAGAAGGCAGGGGGCAATGCAAAGGAAAGATAGTTGTTATAACTGAAATAGAAATTTTATGAAATTAAATATCCAGAGTATTTTACATCCACATTTTCGATACCTTACTGAGATAATGAAGAAGGGAAATAAACTCAAGACGTGAATATTAACTATTCATTATGTAAAAATATTCATGAGTTTCAGACATGTTTTCATATTTAAAAAACAAAATGTAAAAAAATAGCTAAGTACAAGGGTGTTGGTTAGCTAGTTTGTAGATCATGTAAAATCAAGAATTTTTATTACCTCAATCCAATTCGAGGTTTTCCTGTTAAAAGGAGACACGATAGAGCTAAGTAACAGTTTCGTACACGTTGAAGAAATAAATATTGAAGTTATTCATGCTCTAATTCTTGTTTGACTTGATCAAATGAATTATGCAGAGAATAAAGGAGGATAGAATTACATATTTATACCAAATAACATTGTCTGTTATGCTAATTGTTATGGGATTGATCAAATGATTCTAAAATTAAAGTTGAAATTGTTTTTTCACTCAAGTCCTATGAGATGAAATGAAATGAGTTTTATGTCCTACTTTTCTTCACCATGTGGGGTAATGAAGACAGATACACTCAGGAGTCTATATCATTCTAATAGAATTTGATGGAATAAAACATAGCAAGAAGAGTCGGGAAAGTTGTAAACTAGATATACCTAATGCCATTACATATGTACCGACAGTGTTAAGTTCATTAGTACATCAAGCAATAAATATAAGTCTTGTTTGCCAATGCCAACAACTTATCTACACTGTTATAATATCACGCCTTGTTATAATCTGATTATTATCTGGATCTTGGTCTATAAATTTATAGTACTAAGTACTGGTTAACCAAGCCTGAAGCAATGATCCTTAAACTGATACATAAAGTACTGAACCCCTAAATCTATGTGTGTCCAGATATATTAAGATATTTTTTAAGGAATTTTGTGATTTCCATACATTTCTAGTACTTCTGAAGACTATATACATATTTTCAAGACTCAAATCAACCCTCCAAACCCCTTTAATTTTCTCAACTGGAGATAATCTGAAATAAGAAAAGTATCCCTTTTGGGGATCATAGATTAGTTTGGGTTAGTGTTATTTACTACAAAAAGAATCCTCACTCCCCACTAATTGTCAATATCTCAATTTTGGTCATTTGGACTCGATAATTTTCACTTTAAGTGATTATGCTCCCATTCTGAAATTGATACACATAGCAAATTCAGATCTCCATTATCCATTAGTGAATGTAGTCAAAGTGAAAATGAAAGCTTTGACAGACGTTCCTTTAAGTGCATTATCTTATTTTAGCACTTTAATAGATTTTACTTTTAAAACAGATCAATGAATAAACATATCATCAATAATATATCTAACATGCAGTGTTATATCCATTATGTTTCCTTATATAATACACTAATCAAATCACATTATCACATTATACAAAGTTTTCCTAAATTAGTCATAATTTCAGTTGCTTTGAGAATATTTAGCATTATATATTGCTGTCTGTAAGAGCATGTGAAACGAGAGGTTTTTGTAACTTGTTAAGTGTACTGGGGACAATGATAGCATCACTTTGCACCATTACAATTCTGTGGCTCTTTCAATTACACTAAAACTAATCATTTCAGACAGCCATATTCAACATTTATAATGAGATTATTTATGGATTACAACCACTTCATTTCTTTAACATGACCTTCCAACAAGATTCTACAGACATCTCCATCAGCCATTGTAAATACATTTCCATCCATACATATTTTTACAATGTATTTCAATTCAGTTTTACAAAAGGACAGACAAATTTTGTTTGATTTGCAACCAAATCTATGCAAGAAATTTCCTCTCATGTATTGTAATATTTGTTTAAATAATTGGAGACAATACTAGAAATACAAGTTATTCTAGGAATGAAGAGACAGGGATACCTTATGGAGACATGTTAGTTGAATGTGACATGAGGATGTATTTGATTTCAACTTGTTACTTGACCCAGGTGGGATATGTGTTGATCAATAGACAGTATAGAAACCAAATATTGTCTTAACTTGCCTCAAATAAACAAGACAGTTGGAGTCTTCAGTTTAAAATGAAGGTGGAAGTCCAGGCTTTGAAAGTCAATGAAGGGATGGGGGATAGGGGATGGGGTTTTTGGTGAGAATAAAGAGGGATAGCCAGTAACTTCATGTATCCTATAACAAATCAACATTGTCTTAAAGGGATTGCAAAGAGGTTTTCATGTGTATCGGGGACACTGATAGCATCAATTTACACCATTCTCATTTTCAATCAGACGTCTGTGGTTCCTGCAAATCCACTTAAACTAAGCGTTTGATGACATCACTTATCACATATGATTTCGCGATTAGTGATGCCATAATATGCTTAGTTAAAGTGGAATTGCAGGAACCACAGACGTCTGCTTGAAAATGGAAAAAAGCTTTGTCACCGCTTGAGATGATTTGTAAGTTATCCATAATCCTCAAAACAACTCCATTTTTAATAGTGAATGGTTTTGATTGAAAATAGAATCATAACGTTAATCAGACATAAGAAAAGATCTCAAATTGATGAAGTATCTGATACACAAGATACTAATAAAAATATCTCGTTATGTTTAATCAACCTGAAAAATTATACAACTTAATTCAGTCATAAGCTTAAAACATGACCAGTAAATGAACTTTTAAAACAAGTCCAACAAGGTAAATTAAGAAATTAATCAAGGCGTATAGGACTAATGAAGATGTGAATATTCCTATCAAGAAACCTTTAAATTAAACATTCTATTTGAGGTAAAAATTGAATTTGAATAAATCAATGTAAGTCTCCCGATTTCCCCTTGTCAGTCATGCATGTAAGAGGGACTGACATTGAAAAATTTTCCTCATTGCACCATGCATGGCATTGCCCGTCTTCATTAGCCCACATGGTGCAGAAAAGTAGGACGTGAAAATTCATTTCATTTCATATACTCTTTATTGGGATAATGAGAACTGGCTATTGAAGACTGGTAGAGTTCTCTAGCTAGATGGTATTATGCAAATCAAAGAAGTTCTACATCCTACAGATCTACACCTTGGTGAGCTAATGCAGACCAGGCTCTGTTCAATTTTCTCAACCTAGACGATATCATGCATATCAAAGAATTTCTACATCTCACTAATCTACACCTTTTTGAGCTAATGAAGAAAGGGCAATGTTCGGGTCTCTCTTTTAAGACAATCAAATCAAAGAAGTTTAAGTCCTTCTATCAGGTAAATGAAGGTGTGCCTGCTGTTCTGGATACTCTCCAGATTGATAAAGAAAGAGCAAATCATTTAAAAGATTCGAGCCCTACAACTTGGAGAAGAAAGGTCTTCAGTATTCAATGTGTTCAAACTAGATGAATAAATGATATAAATCAATGAAGTATGAAGAAGTAGATTATGATTTGTAATCAAGTATTAACCTGATATATAAAGATTAAAGAGACAAGCTAATATTACTCTATTAATCATTATATAATATATTAATATACATATCAACTTTTGATTAATAGTGGATGAGGTTAAAGTCATTCTCGTTAATATGCTAACCTGGAAATTTCATTTTGTGTTTTTTCAGACAACACATCTTGTCATCTCCTGTTCTTGGCTATTTAATATTCAGTCAATAAATCATTTGTTTAAAAGATTTCCTTAAAGGTATTGTAAAGAGGTTTTCTAAGCTTTTTATGAGTATAAAACGTCGGAATGAAAATTGGAATAGTGCAAATTGATGCCATCAGTGTCCAGGATATACAAAATAAGTTTAGAGAACCGAGATTTACAATCCCTTTAATTCAGGAATGTGGAATAATTCAACAAATTACAAAGGAAGAATATAGTACTGGTGCTGGTATTAATATTTCATTTTTTTATGGGTGACTCAACTTTTCATCCATGATCTGAGAAGATTAATACAGTTTACTTTATTGACACCAAAGAGAAATTATCACAATATTGATCCTAAAATAAACTAAGTGGTATGATTTATGACTCATCAGCCATGGATTGACATACCAAGTTATCAAACTGACATCAGGTGTTCCAGAAGGGTGAACAAACTAATTCTCCCAAGCAGTAGACTCCATTGTAATTACAGTTCGTGAACCTTGAATTAACCACTATTATTTAGACTATAGAAAGCAGTAAACTGATATTACAGTAGAGAAACTCATAGTAACCAATATTTAAAGACTAGACAGAAGAGAAGGTATAAGAAAACACAAGACAATATTATGGAATATAACACACTTCTTTAATAAGGTTGGGCACATAACGTTTCAACACAATATACACGTGTCGTCATCAGAAGTAATGGCAAGAGAATAAACTGGTTATAAGAGATTAGATTATAAATATGATCTGTATAATTATAGTACACAAATATTATACTATGTATTAATCTCTTAACCTCGACTTGGAAGTCATGTTAGACCTTATAACCTTCACTGAAATGACATAAGAGCTTATTGAACATTCTTGACATGGACAATATATTGGAATTTCTTGTATTATGGAGTGAAAGCCGACACCGGCTGACTCTCGAAAGCATTGGCACAGGCATCCAAATTTTTCCTACCATGAAAAGGATTTGATCCCACAGCACCTAATCACCTAGCAGATGACAGTCCACCTCGCTACCGACTGAGCTATTCCACTGACATTTTTAGGCTTCCATTGAATTGAAATTGAATTGCTTAACTTTTTTAACCTTTAGGAATTCAGAATAATTAAAGTTATAACCACAAGTATATCCTATTTCATTAATTTTTGGACAATCTTAATCCAAATCGTTCTATTCAGTCAGGCTATATTCTCAGACATAAAAAAGATTGCAGGTAAAATTAAGAGAAAATCGAACAGATTTATAGGGTGGAGGGGGGTAATGCAATCCTTCAGAAATCTTGAATGGTGTAATAGAAAAATAGAATAGAAAAGGTTGAAAACCCCCGCTTCAATGAAATATCACCTTAAAGGTATGACTACTCACCCTAATACTATTAATTCACCATATTTGATAGGTTGGCAGTCAGGTTGGTACTGAACACAGGTGGTCTTACTATCTGTACCTGGAGGGTGATGACTAGCTTGAACTAAGTTTTCTCCCAGCACAAAATCATCAGGAGGCCTGCAAGAATGTAAGAAAGAAACCTGTTTGAAATGAAATAATTTGAGTTTTATTTCCTATTTTTCTGTGCCTGAAAGAAACATGTTGGAATATCAGCTATAAATGCCTGATATATTGCGTTCATGGACAGGATGATAGAAAATTAAGAAAATCTGTTACCAGTACTAAAACCCCAATTTACATCTGATTTGAAAACAGAAACCACCATTTCTTTCAAAATTTGCTAGATCTGGAGATTCTTATTGGATTAGCTTAAGTACAGAGTTTTATTCAGAACAAAAACTATGTAGGCATGTGCATTTTATTTTCTTATGAATTTCTGATTTATTATAATTATTTCTGACTTAAAAATTCTGTTGATAAAACAGAGAATCGCCAAACTCTCTCAATTATACTGAACCTTTATCCATGTCAACTATTATTTAACAGTTCCTACATAATCAAGCATGATAACAGAAAAATTAGTTTATGACCAAGCTTGGTGCACTTAAATGTTTAATAATAATAATAATAATAATAGCCTTATCGATTTCTGATCTGAATTCTCAACATACTAAATTTTCATTCTCAAAATATTTCATTGGACTGAATACAGTAAAAAATTCCACAAAATCATCAGTAGTAGAATACAGTCATTAATAACAGGTTAATCAGTACTCAATAGTCAATTATCAACACCCCCACTTCTACTACCAATCCATACTAATTAATTCCATATTAAACAATTAACCTAATTTGTTGAAGATTTGATTTCCTGACAAGAGCATTCAGTAGCAATATCAAATTCCCATGTGTATGATTTGTGACCCTTTGTCAGCTTAATAAGCCACATGGGAAATATTACACCCTTTGTTGTAAACTATCATTATGTGGCACTGGCACATTTTTCCATTCATGGATTGATCTAATGAGATTGATAGCCGTAGGCTAATCCCAAATCTCATGCCATTACTTTTTTCTTTTTAAAAATGACCCATTATAATATTTGATTAAGTTCAGAAACCTCTATTGCGGCATTAATGGCATCAAATTATTTTTAAGTTGATTTTTAAATTCATTAAACTTTTCTTAATCAAATAAAATTCATAAAATGCAGTGATTAGAAAATAGTAAGCTTTAAAATGTAGACTGTAGTACTACAGATGCTGGTAATCACACTTTAGAGTCAAGTCGTAAATCATAAAATGACAAATTGACAGTGCGACCAGCTACATTTCATTCATTCATCAGAAACAAAACAAAGAAAAGATTTTATAACTCACTTTTTCTTTGTGTCCGGCATTTTTGTGATTAAATAGAGTACTCATGAAATAATCCTGGGCCTGAAAAGTTACATTTCCACTAGTTTTCACGTTTTCTTTCACAAATGATGAACGATAGAACAGAATAAAAACATTTGGGTTCAATCCAAAACCGGAAACGGAAGTTGTGAATTGTTGACAGAGGGCGCTTTTTGTTTTGACAGGAAGTTCTCAAATTATTGCAAAATATATTTTTTTCCTGAACTTATTTCGTCTGAAATCACGTTCAAAACCCTCAAAAGAAAATGGATTTGTTGAAATTATTCACTGGACAAAATGGAGACTTTTTACAGGATCTCGGAACTCTGAACTTTATCAATTCTGGAGACAAAGAGATGCTGCAGAGAGTGACTGGTGCCCGAGTGGCTGCCTATGTTTTTGATAAGTTGACAAATGAACAAGAAATAGAAGCCTTGAGAACAGCAACAATTTTAAGTATTTCGAAATATGTGAAGGACCACCCTAAAGCCTCAAAAGAAGAAATGGTGAAAGAAATTGGAAAACAAATTTATGAATTTCAAAAGAAGATCGAAAGTTTGTGAAGTGACAGAAGTCAAAATTTTCATTCATTGATTGACTCAGTGATCATTAGAACAATGTTGGATTACAAATGTCAAAATGACCTTGGAGAACATTTTTAGACAACTTCAATAGTTAATCTTATTCACTTGATTTACATTCATAAGACCAATTGTTTTAGTTTGGAAAGTGATAAATTCAGAATAAAAATTAAAACGATTATTGAAATGACCAAAGTATCTCTTTTCTTGTCTTTACTGTATAGTGTATGTATAATCAAAAGACCATGTATAATGAGGTGGTCAATCAAGTCACAGCCCTCTAAATTCATCCAGCATTTCAAGACAATTAGCCTACTTTTTAAGGATTTTACATCAAAAACAATGCTGGCAGTAAGCTTAAAAGTCACATCCTAAAAACAGTGTTTATGTTTTATGTAGAAGTAGCCTATCTGACTTTCATGATATAAAACCTTTTTTTATTTCAACATATATGTAAATTCTGTTTTATTATTATGCCTGTTTTTGTTTTTAATGTATTATAATAAAATAATTTTGTTTTTAAACCTGATTGGTTTATTTGGTCAACTAATTTGGAAACCAATCGAAAGGATGTTGCAACAAGAACAGCTTTGTTCAATTTTTGTAATGTGCTAGTATTGGCCTACTTCAATTAATGTTGAAAGAATATTGGTTGAGGTCTAATAAGCTAATATCTATTTCATTTGAAATGGCCAGTAGATATTAGACAAAGGCAACCCCATAACCCCCAAAAATGTTCTTTTGATTGCATTGTGCATTGTTTCATATTGACAATCTTTAATCTGTGCGACAAGCAAATATAAGGGCAAGAAAAGTACAGCTCATGAGAATATCACAGTTTTAATCAGGCATATAATAAATAATCACGATACAGAAAGACATAGGTCTAAATGGTTATTAATTTCAACAGTGGACACTTCCATTTGACAGACTGGACAATTAGCCATTGGGACTGCCTCGACTGTATTCATTGCACTGTTTGGTACATATGAACTACTAGTTTGAGTTTGGGTAGTAAAGAAATCAGTTATTGATCGCGATGAAGTGATAGGACTTGATTTCTTGTGTGGGCTTTTAGATGCTCTAGATGTCGGTGATTTTATAATGGGTAATTCAGAGCTATAAGGCACATGTTTGTCCACAAAATTTGAGTTTGAATGCATGGAATTTCCCTGAGTTCTATCACTGAAATCTTGAGATTTCCTGGAAGTAGATGTGGCAATTGATGGAAGAGATACGTCTGGAGAATGTGATCGTCTGATTTTTTTGGCAACTTGTTCAAAATCATCTTCATCACTGTCTGACAAAAATAAAACAGCTTTCTTTATCTTTTTTCCTGATGTAAGGTCAATTTTCGTTTTATCACCAACTTTAAAATAGGAGTCAAACAGTTCTTTTCTCTTTTTAGAGTTAGAGTCACTATTGCTTAGAGTCGAAGCAGAGCCAATCTGTTTCCTGATCACAGTTGATTGTTGTACTTGTCCTGGACTTACAGTATTGCACTTTTCAGAACTCAAACCGAATTTGGATGCCTTTTCTGAAAGAAGTTTGGAATCATTATCAAAACGAGCAGTAGGTTCTGAGGTATTTTTTGATCCAGTGGAAGCCATTCCTTTTCTAAACTGGGCTAACCAACTTAGACCACCTTGTCCTTGCCCTAGAGTATTTCCCTGACCAGTAAAGGCTGGTTGGCTCACCGTTTGTTCCTTGTCTTTATTCCATATAGTCTTAGCTCTCATGACATTCAGATCAGAATCATTGGAAAACTTAGTGCTGCTAGAACTGATCATATTCGTTTCACTTATTCCTTGATTTCTGTCCCCTTTTCCTAAAACTTGACCTTGTGCTGTGAATGTAGGCCTAGATACTGGTTGTTCTTTGTCAGTATTCCAAATAGTTTTAGCTTGCATCACATTAGAATCGGAATCATAACTTGTTGTTGGAATGTTCGGTATATTAACACCAGCCTTTGATGAATTATCTCCCATATCAACAGACGTGTTGGATGTCAAATTGTAAGGATTATTACTTTCTTTTTTCTGTAGAATTCCATTGGACAAAACTTTTTCCAGATCACCAGAAGTCACTGTGGCTGGTTTATCATTTTTCACTGGTTTTCCCTTCCCCCAAAATGACCGGATATCTGGTGATTTAGACTTCTTTTTCTCTGAAAAAATAACAAAAATTATGACTTATTAAATAAAATAGATCTCAAAATTTATTTTTACCTAGAATCGTAGTATTCATTGGTATTAGAGACCATCCAAATCAATTTTCATTATATATCGAGAAGATACAGCTCAAAAGTGATTGCTTATATATCTTCTCTTATCAGAAATGAAAAAAAATGGCTAGCTGTAAAGATAGCACTCATAATAAGCACAATTACAAATGCAGCTCTGTTCAGAAAAGGACAAAAAAAAAACTACTTGTTTTGGCTGAATAAAATTATATGAAAACAGCTAATATCACTAAATTACTTCTAAGAAATCTCGTACTAGAATATCTAATAATTTCTTAAGAAAGATACTTAAGAAATGTTAGCTTTAAAACTGTTACTTACCAATTTCAGAATCTGATTTATAGCCTTTCTCTGAATTCTTGCCACCTTTCTTCTTCTGTCCGAATCCCTCAGGTTCTTTAACTTTAGTATATGTCCCTCCACAAGTCTTCTGATGTTCGTCCCACCAGGTGTCGTTTTTAGACGGAGCTCTGTTCATTGATCTCTTCACCATACCATAATATGGATGTCGTTTTTGACAGGGCCCGTTACATTTCCACCAATGTGTTTTATAGAGTTCCACTTCATCATGGAAGGTATGATAAACCTAAAGGAACAATGAGAAAACTGACATGTAAACAACTCAAACGACATTTAGAAGTGAGGAGTAGATATAACATATTGTCTTGTGTTTGTGATATGAACTCAATTCAGCAGATTGTCAGTAGCATGTGTTAGCAACACATATCCACCTCTGTTTAAAAGCAATTAGTGACACAGATGCCCAAAAATATGTTGAAGAAAAGAGTAGAGGCAAAAACTGGCTTTCAAAGCAAACTTTGACGAGATGGCACCTAATATTTTAGTAGACAACGATCCAATTCGCTACAGAACAGAAAAAATACCAGGAAATAGAGAAGCCTCCCTTCTTCCATAGATAAATAACAACTTCAGTCCTGTTAATCAACAATATTTAAGTTTCTCATGATAAAAGGAGAAAAATGATGAATATCTTACAGAAATATTGGTACCAGTTTCTGCATTGATTCTGTACATATGTTTATGGAACTCAGGTCCATGGCCGTCACGATCCTACAAAATAGACGTGTATTCTTAATGAATTACCACTAGCAAGCACCATGACTATCATGAAAAAATATGATGGTTTGATGTAACTGAATACATACTGAATGTCAGATGCATATTGTAATAAAAGCCAAAGAAAGCTAATACATACACTATAATCTTTATTTTTATTTAATACAGGCAATTGGGATGTCAGATCAATGATCTAAAAATTTAATCTCTCAGTAAGCATTGAGTTATCAGACAACTGTATCTGTTTAATCACAACCTACCTTGTTATTTTCTGTTACAAATAAATAGGCATGTATCATCTCATGCTGAAATACAAAGAAAGGATATGAAATGAAATGAAATGTCCTACTTTTCTGTACCTGATTTGACAAAGGCACAGTGCTATTAGGAATGATTTTGCATGACAGCCGCATGTGTCCACTCATTTTTCGCTTTCCAACATTATAGTGGCATAACATACATAACATGTAAAGTTTTTGTTAAATTGTGATGAAAGGACATACTTCTGAAAAATGATAAAAACAGCTGAAATAGTTATATAAAATATTAAGACAACTTGAATCCTTTTCAATATAAGTTATGTATCATTTTCTTGAAATAATACAAGACCTAAAAAAATATTTCATACTTCTGCAATGTAAATCACAATGGATCAAGTCTTTGTAGTAAAATATTAAAATACAAACCAACAGAGTCTCCACCAGGTCTTTTCTTGGTCTTAGTTTCAACAATGGCGTACTTAATCTAACAGAACATAGTCCACCCCTTCCTTCATAGCAACATATACCAGCACAACTAGAAATAGACAAATAAAAAATATGATAGTAATATGTTTAGATCTGGCCGAAGAGTAGGCTACGTTTCAACATGTTATCTTAGAGCTTTAGTCCAACAGCAAGGTTTACAGAATCACATATCACTAATTATTTCTTGTATGAATTGAAATAACAATTTGGATCATACCAAAGTAGCACTAGTAGTAACGCTATAAACTGTTTGAATTATAATTCATTAATCTAGATGTAAATACCTAATGTAGGAACCTAATTTTTAACAGTTACCTACTGCTGTAGTTTAAGAAACTTAAAGCTCAATTTGTTGACTACTGGTATTGAGGATATTTTTTTACATGCTGGAAAACCCACACAGTATCTGCTTTTAGTGTCCCTTTAACATCAGTACTTTGTCAACACTTTAGACCAGATCTATGGTCAAATATTGACTAGGATAACCCATCATACATCAACTCTTGTTGGATGTGATGTTCATGTCATGGAATCCCTTTTCTTAATTTGATAAAGTGTTTTTTGTCTCCAAAAGCTTTCAACGAGTTTAATTGCATTGTGGATGTATGAATATGTTTAGAAACGCAATGGTATTCCTATAGCATCGGTAAGCTTACATCATTGATTTTTCGGCTGTGAAGCATTTAATTGAAAAGTTTCAAAAACTTTTTACTTTGTTTATTCAATAATACATGTTTACTCAGTAGACCATTGTTCTTACCTTGTCATTCTAGGGCTCCATTTCACTTCGATCCCAGACAATCTACCCCAGAAAAATCTCTCATTAAACTGCAGAAACAGAGCTCTGATATCAGGATTGGGATCAGAGAGTTCCCAAAACTCATCGACAAGAGATGGAGACTTGACATTTTTTGATTTATTTTTTGAAGATGATTGTGTTGGAAATGGAGTATGAGGTGATTCGTTGTTAAATTCTTCTTGCAGGGCCAGCGCCAGAGCTAGATCTTCGTCCTCCATCGTTTGACAGTCAAGCAGGAAGTCATCAATCTTTTTTTCAGGTTTTTAACAACTTTTTCATCTTTTCAGTTTCATACTCGCTTCAGCTCTACTTCCGGAAACTACAAGTCGAGTTATCTTTTCCTAATATTTGGAATCAGACCACTACTCTCATAGCAATATAAAGCCTGAATGTCGATTTTAATAGCACTCAAATCTGATGCGCATATCGAAGGTTTGTTTATTCGACAGCTGTTTTTTCTTTCATTTATAAATATATAACCGTGTGAACCCAAAAATTATTTTTTGACTTGAATATCTCGTTGGACCAAAAGTCGTAAATATAGGATTGCTTTCTGCATTTATTTGGCAAAAAATGGGTCAAACACTATGAAGCGTGCAATGAAGGAAAATTTCACACTGCCTCTTTCAATTTCTTAGATGATTAGGCCTACATTCTGACCCTAAGCTGATGGGGCTTCGATTTACGGTCCTGTTCATAAAACATCACAACCTTTCTACAGGACAAAACGCATTAAATAATGGACACAATTTTATGGTATACTACTCCTTAGTTTTATTACACACTACGTTTCAACAATCTACATTGTCATCTTCAGGTGAAGGACAAAACACAAAACAGCGCATCTCAATGATAGCGCGCCAGGAAACGCAATGAAATGTTGATAAACTGTACAGGCTCACTACAGATATTTACTAATAAAATGGTATTTAAATGATTATTTTCTCTTCAAGATATCAAATTACTAACACATGGGACGAGCTAGTAGGTGTAAAATAACATCAGATGGCGTGTAAACTGACACCACAAGAGACGATAGTATTTCCTGTTTAATGCATTAGAAGTTAGGTCTGCAATTCAATTGCCAGCTGCAAAGTCGAAGTAATACTTTAGACCATGTTATAGCACTAGTAGTAACGCTATAAACTGTTTGAATTATAATTCATTAATCTAGATGTAAATACCTAATGTAGGAACCTAAACGTGAATCGCTGAAGCTGTAAATTGTTGGACCTTTTATAATTTACCTGCTGGAGAAAGTAAAAGCTTGTGAAATAATAAAAATTTATGTGAAGAATTAAGGATAGGATTAAGACGAACTGTTTTGGTGATGATATTCGACGTAATAATAATTTCAGGTTTCTCTGGAATTACAGGAATCATAATATCTAGACATCAGGCGGTACAAATAGAAGCTTTATAACACAAAGTTCAGAAAATCATTCGTGAACAGAATAAAAATAAAATAGAAAATAGAATTTTTTGAAATTTTAGATTTTATTTCAAATCTCTTGCCGAAAAAGGGTCTACTAGCCTACATTGAGCTGTTAATAACATCATGTTTCAGATTCTGTATACGTATTTCAGATTTATTTTATAGGTTAAAAATACAACTTAGATATGAATCTCTGAGGGATACTGACGTTCTGTACAGTAACTCTAGTAGTAGCTAAAACTATGACAGCGCCACTGTGCTGTAATGGTCACACCACTGGAATCTTGAGTTCAACTGCAAGCTACATACTACAGATGAAAATATACTTTGTGTATGGATATTTAGATGTTATCTTCTGAAAGTTTAGCTAAGATTTAAAGTAAGTTTTATGTTTGTGTGTTTTAAAATGTAATCCAAATGAACAAAATTTAATACTTGTTCTACAGTCTCGAGGCTATTCCAGCATTAGTTTTTATTAACCAAATTGTCACCCTGGTATCCCGATATGATGAACACATTAGTCGAGTATCATCTTCGATGTGAATTCATCTATTGTCTCTTGTGTGTTATTGCCCCCTTTTGGTTGTTGGGTACTACTGCATAATTAAGCAAATTATCTAAAAATTTAATATTTCCAAGTAGTCCGGTTTCGGTATATTCGAAACGTTAGAAAGTACATGTATCTAACAAACGAGATAAATGCTAACGCGATTCGCCGTCTTTCCCCTCTGCATCGATAACCTCAAATCGGAGACCACACAGGACGCCATACCTTTTCTATTCGCACTTAATAAAAAAAAAAAAGGAGTTTACTTGATTGTTTTTAATGGGCTAATGGAGACGGTATTCGCACCTTAAAAGAGCTGATTTATGTACGATCTGGTATACGCCTAATTCTAGTATAATATCTATCAGAACTGCAGAAGACCGGTAAAGACAGCTGTTTGAGTGTTGTTTAACTATGATATGATTTCCAGCTCAATAGATATTATCATTATCTGTTACAATTTATTCTATACCTAAAACTTCTACACGCTCTAACAGTTTAAAATAGTCAATGATGATTTTAACATCGAGTTTTTTCATATTCTTCAAGGTGAACTGACAGAACTACTAGTGCAATAGTTACACAGAGAGATTCTTGGTTCTTTATACATTCAACATCAGAGCATTTTGCATTGTCAGAGCCGTTCTACTATACATTGTTATATACAAAACCACGCTTTTCTATAAAGTATATCAAACCTTTTGGCAAAATTGTGAGAAATTTTGATGGAATCGAACGATAAGGTAAGTTGCAATAGTTAATCTAATTTATCAAAAGAATATACTTGTACTTGTATTTGTGCCAGCTTTGATAATTTGATTATACCTAGAGGGTATTGTATGTTATTATATAGTGATGTGTACCTCATTTTGGTTTCTCAAAGGGTGCTTGCCCTTTTGTCAGGTTCTGGTGGAAATTTTAAAGGTTATTGCTGCCGATAACCCATTTTAACGACGTAAAACTACCATTGTTCCAGATTCATGTTTCAGAAACTAGATAAAGGCCGTAAGTTCGACCATGTTTAATGTAAAGATTAAAGAACTATACTGGGTCGTACATACGAAGTGCTATAAAATTGGGTTTTCTTAAAGATTAAGTACCGACGCCACTTTTCGACCTACTTATCGACTTTACTGATAGGTTAATTGTATGTTATGTCACTTTACTTTACCCGAAACTAAATCCTTATTTTTCAGACAGAAAACAACATGGCAGAAGAAACCAACTTTTCAGCAGACCAAAGTAGAAAGGCAACAAGATGGCGATGTATATCTGCTTTATTATTTGTGCTCTGCGTATTACTGGCAATAGTTGCTGTAGCTATACTAGTCATAAAAAACAACGAACTCAAAAATTACAAACAGAACTCAGTGGGCGTGTGTGGCGCGAAAATCAAAAGCAGCATCGATACCAGCGAACCAGACGATCCGACAATATTCCACGGTTTAACGGGTCAGGAACTTCAATCAATTCAGGAGTACATGAAATCGGTGCCAGAGCTTAATATAGAAACAGGAACTCTGAAACTTAATTCCAGTTACATTATTGGCATTGACTATATCGTGCCCCCAAAATCTGAAGTGTTAGATTACCTAGACTCCGGTGGTCCTAAACCTGCACGTAGTGCATTAGTTATTATGCTTCGCGGAGATCTGAATCCACCGCTAGTTGAAGAGTACCAAGTACAACCTCTTCCGAACCCAACGAACTATGAACTTATAAAGTACAAGAACAGACCTAATCCGATTCCGTTCGAATTCCGACCCTTTACGGCTGTCGAATTCAAATCCATTTTCGACATTCTTTTGAAACAGGTTGATGATGAGCTCGGAGACCTGTTACAAGAGAGTTACGGTGCAACGTTTCATAATTGCGGAGACCGTTGCTTGTACTTCTGTCCTAACGTTGCGTCTTCGGCTGTAACAGGTAGGCAAACGAGAATGATGTGGATGCAAGTGACATATGCAGTGGAGTTTTATACCGTACATCCGGTGGACTTGATGCTTTACATGAACCTTACCGGATCCAACTTCACGCAGTTTAAAATTGAGAAAGTTGTTTATAACCGACAATATCGAAACAGTTTAAAGGAACTTGCAGATGACTACGCTGCATCGAAAGTTAAAAAGTCAAAATTCAGATTTCCAGAGGAAAACGAAAAACTATTTTCGACGCTACATAGAAGAGGATCGCCAGCTCAGCCAGGTCAAGATCAGCGTCCACCACGATTGATCGAACCGGATGGTCCACGTTATACGATAAAACACCGATACATTGAATATATGAACTGGAAATTCCACGTCCGTATGGCCACATACAAAGGTCCTCAGATTCATGACGTCCGTTTCGCAGGTGATCGGATCGCATACGAGATCGGCCTACAAGAAATAGCTGCATTTTATTCTGCAGATGCTCCGACATTCAGAATGGCTCAATACGTTGATAGCGTTGCGTCTATTGGTACAAAAGCAAAGGCTCTGGTGCCCGGTGTCGACTGTCCGGAAACGGCTGCGTACATGTCGACCTGGCAAGTAGAGGAAAACGAAAAAGGATATTCAAGGGCCGAAAGAAGTTTCTGCGTGTTCGAACTGAACACGGGATATCCGTTGCGACGCCACCACGAATTTTATGCGTTCCGAGGAGGGTTTTACGGTGGTATGGCCGATAGTTGTTTGGTCGTGCGTTCGGTGATGACTTTGAATAATTATGATTACGTTATGGACTTCATCTTTCATCAAAGTGGCATCATGGAGACGAAAATTATCAGCACTGGTTATATTTACGGAGGTGTGTACCATCCCAATGAAGCTCAATACGGGTTTGAAATCAACGAAGGACTTCACGGAACTCTTCATCATCATCTGTTCCATTTTAAGGCCGATTTAGACATTAAAGGTACCATGAACCGCTACGAAACGTTGGACATTAAACCCATCAACGTCTCCAATTCAAAATGGCTGGATGGTCTGAACACAGTGCAAACGCAAATCAAGTTCGATCCGGTTTTAAAAACATCGGAAAAGAAGGCTGCGTACAAATTTAACTTTAATACTCCAAAAGAGCATGTCTTTCATAACGAATTGCATAAAAACTCCAAGCGGGAGTCTCGAGCGTATAAGATCCAGTTATCAGGGATGTCCAAGCAGTTATTGCCCGAGGATAAGCTGAACGAAAGAACAATCAGTTGGGCTAGGTATCAGCTAGCTGTAACCAAACATAAAGACGATGAGCACACCAGTAGTTCTATCTACTCCTCGTTTGATGCTCTTGATCCAATCGTCAAGTTTGCAGATTTTATCGAAGATGATGAAAATCTCATTGATGAGGTAAGCCTCAATGTTTAGCCTGTTTGAGTCAGTTTCCTTAAGGTGGTTTTCGACCTGTTGACGACGTTGGTGAAACAGAGGTCGAGTTCACAAAAGAGAAAATAGAGTTTCGCTGGAGATGCCCGTTGTTCCTTTAGCTATATGCGGCTTATTAGATGTGATAACCCCGTTGCTAAAGAAAATTGGATGTCCCATATCACTAGATAAGTAATACCAGTTACGTAATCGCAAAATATCACTTCAGAAAGGATTCCATGATGAGTTATTTTCCTCAAAGATGCCCCTTTTTTAACATTTTGAAGATATCGCAACAAGTGTCATTATATTATATGTTTTTCTTTCAGGATTTGGTGACGTGGGTATCGCTGGGTATGATTCATATTCCGATATCTGAAGATTTACCTCTAACTCAAACACCAGGGAAACATTTATCATTCCTCCTGTCCCCTCATAACTATTTCACCGAAGACCCTTCGATGTCCTCTCGGGACCAGGTTCGTGTGGAATATAAGGACAAGGACAAACCCAAGGATGGGGTGCGCGTGACACGCTATTTTGAATCCCCAGAGGCACAGTGTGTAGGACGAGATTTCGACTTTGATGCGGATGTTAAAGAAAATCCAGAAAATATTTTGGATGTTTAGGTGAGTAAAAGTAGCTCGAGGCGAAGAAGAAAGGGGAATTGGTTGCTTCCCATCAAACAGGGAAGACAACGAACCGATACTATTACGGACCTAACAGATATTTTGTGGTTCTCACGTTAGTAGTATTCTCAAAGCATCATTAGATGTGAGAATCAATTGCGTTTGGGAGAACGTGTGGTTAACATGATTGGCGTAAAAGACGGTTTATGTGGAATTTGGAGAAGAATCCGTGAAAATTTGACAGAATATCCCATAGAAATCTGTTAAACAATACATGTATTGTGTAACGTGTGAACAACTGAGTGTTTTGTATCTCATTCAGTTTGCTGCGTTATTCCCTGGTAGTCGCTGCAAGTGTTTTCAAATGCGAGGCGTTTTCTTCAAAACTGTTCTGTTTAATAAGAGGCTTGGTGTATTATTGGGGTGTGTTACTAACGATGGTGTGTGTTGGGGATTCTTATTGCTGTGTGTATCATCATAGTTAGTGACTGTTCAATATATACAGACCTAAAGTGCCTTATAAGGCTTCTACCTCTCTTTTGTGTGTAGTGTTGAACATCCCATGCTTTTTATAATAGGTGTATATAGATATATATTTCCATATCACTATTTTTAGAAGTAAAGAATGAAAACCAGTATAAAGTACAAGGGCCGAGAATGGAGATTAACCCGAGGTCCTCCACACAAACTACAAAGTGTCGTCTTACTTGCAACATCTAAACAGTTTCCTACTCTCTTGCCATTGTTGTAAATATTGTTTTCGCAAATTTACATCGGGGAAAGTTGGTCTGAATTATGTTTAATTAGCCTCTCTGTTGCAACGCGTCATTTTTTTGTAAATGTTGTATTCAAACCTTCGAAAATACCAGGGCAACTATATGAATAAACCAGGTTTTATGCTTTTTCGTATAATAGGTTATTGTACATTTTTAAGCGTTCTTCTAATTTTAACTACTTCTGCTAATAAAATGATTAAAGCTGTAAATATCCCAATAGCTATTATATAGAAAGCACTTTGTAAGGATTGTAGGTCCACGGCTTCTGCTTTAGTCTTTAAACCTCCAGAACAATATGGCATCCGAGGCCACCATGTCTGCTTCCAGATCTGTAGCAACCCACTTTCATAAATCTGTATCATTCTAAAACAGAAGGACAGAAAGTTTCTAGAAAACAACAATAGTCAAAGACAGCTTATCTGGATTGGTGTGTGTGAAAGGGGTGGGTCAAGGTGAGTTAAAAAGCTCGTTAAGATTGCTGTAAAATGTTCTTGAGATGAAGGGATAGTTTGAATTAACTCAAAAAGTGTTATCTCAAAACAGAATAGAACTATAGCCGCCCCACAGTCATGGGGCGTGTACCCCAATGTCTTTTTGAGCAGCGATAAGAAATGTTTCGGCGAATCTATTTAAAATCTTAATCATTGAAAAAGAAATACAGGTGTATACTTACTGATTCGTGAATATATCTAAATAAGGAGAATTATCGGGAAGACCCAGAGCGTAGTGATTGGGGAAAATCTTCTCCGGTAAGAGACTGACATTACAGCTATGATTGGTCCAGGAGGCGAGCACGGACCGGTCAGTCAAGAAGGCGTAATTCCCAGCCAGGATTTTCTGCAGATGGACACTCTGGTCAGGATGGAAGACGTCAGGATCTGTCTTGTTGAATTCCACCATATTTTTCCAGACTTCCTTATAGTCGTCTATACTCGAATTCTGGAGTAACAACTTTAGACGTGGGAATGAAAAATTAAAAGAGGAGGTGGTCGGTCTGGGAATATCTTATCTTCTAATTTTTGGCTAGTGATACGTGCGATTTTTTTGTGTTAACTCAGCCCAAATATCAGTTCTTTTCTTGTAACTTACTAAAGCTAAAAGAATGATTCTATTGCTCTTTGCAACCTCATCGTCAGTCTGATTACGAACTCGGTGCCCTCACCGAAAAAAACGTTTCTGTGGAGTTGCCTTGTCTCATATGCCCAAAAGTAAATAGATCCAAAATCTGAAATAGTCCTCTATACATTCTGAACACCAAGTGTCAACACCGCATATTATATCTTGCTTAATCTAGAAATAACATGCCACATACTACCTGTACAATCGGAACACATAGTCATAGTACTCTTGTCTGAGATCAAGGTCTGTGTCAATACCTTCCATTATGCCTTGCTAGATTGAGACCCAATATGTGACATACCCCTCTCTACAATCTAAACACCAAGTCAGTACTCTCACCTTAAATAAGGTCTCTGTTGCACTACCGCCCATTATGCCCCATTTATAAGTATCTTGTTGCAGCATTTCTGCCAATGTTTCAAATGGTAACGTATCACGGGTTACCGTTAAAAAGGCTATCAAGTTACCACTGTAGGTAGCCGCCATTATTATACTAAATATCCACCTGAAAATCAGAAATAAATATAGCAAAATCTGAAATATGATTTTACTCAAATCGTTCGTTTCGTGTGGTCAGAAATTTATACACTGTTGCTTTACTTATTGTTATCATGAATTTGTACACGCATTCGAAAAATGGCTGATTTCTCAGTATACCAAATCAAAAATTAATTGTGTTCCGTAATGGACTCTAACATAGGCTTTCTTGATTGTTTTACAGAAAGCCGAGAATTTCTTGCGTCTTCCTTTTTTTAAATAAAGGGCGCCGCAATCCCTTTGTAATGACTTAGTGAAGATTGGATAACATGAGTCGTCAATACGCGAGATAACATGTATTACATTACTTACCAAAAACCAATTATCATTCGACTGGCCATTGTAGATGGAATGTGAACACCACCTGAAATAGACATCGTACTATACTACTGCACAACCGATTCTTCCTTGCTCTGTTAGCACTTACAGCAAGATTAGAAGGAAAGGGCACGACAAGGTGTGGTCACGATTTGATTCTCAAATTTCTAGTGCATAAATAGTCCTGAATCGTACATCGCACCAACCATCATTCTTCGTCTATTCTCACCTTTTTTTTTCAGAGACCATATTGATAAAGAAATCGTTTAAGAGCGTGCTACTTAGAATTCAGAAGTAAGAAACATTCTTTAAGTATCATCTTGAAACAAAAACTCACTCACCGTGAGCCAGCAGTGCACCAAGTAAATACCATAAAGCGCCATCTAGCGTGAATCTGGTCGATTGGTTATTTTTGATATCGTAGTAAGGGTTTGTGGTTTCAATGGTGAAAAGGAAGAACGTGGCGAATAACAGAGCACACAGTATACACAAGAGCACCTGCCATTTAAATGGTGCTAGTAGAGTATACCATTTATCTATCCCAGGGTCAGGCTTCTTCAGATAGACGCCGGTATAATCAAAGAAATAAGGGAAACTGAAATCTATGGCGGTCTCTCTCTGATCAGTGATGGTAACAGCTGCTACAACTAGATCTACCTCCTGAAATAGAACCGGATGGATTCAATTGGAGTCGTATATCTTACTTTGTTCCTAAATCTAAATGTACGAATGAGAGGTGTTGTAGGGACGATAAATTAGCTTTTAATGGCACTGGAGTGGAGGTTTTCGTCCAAGAGATATATGAAAAGAGAACATACGTGGCGAGTTAGCTGTCCAACTAAACCAGTCCATCTTCCATCTTTAACGATTCCCCAATCTAAATCTGGTGGTTCTATCAATTCATAGCTACAACAAGAATGAATGAATACAAAATGATTAACATAAAGGCATACATTAATGAATGAAAGAGTTGTATAGCGCCAAAATGAACCTTAAAATGAGTCGGAACGGAAGAGCAAAGAGGGAATTCATAGCATTCCATCCATAGAACTGCGACTGGTCTATTAACTAGAAAACATAAGAAACAAGAGACATTACCTGAAATTGAGTCTAACTGATAATTCTCGTAGTAAATCTATACAGATACCAGTATATATTGTCTTGTTATCTTGTATTGTCTTCATGGTGAATGGGTCCCACTGCAATATACATTTTATCAATCTAAAATTGTTTATTTAGTTTATCTTCTGAGGATAACTTCACTTGTTCACGATCTACAGACATTATAAGAGAGGTGTGTTTACCAATGAACTAGTAGGTTCTGTGACAACTCAGTCAGCATTTCAAGAGGTACACTTACTTGGTTTTGATACATTTAAAAAATTGAGAAGTTCTAACGAAGCCATGGAGTAAAGATGTTGTAGCCTTTGAGCAGAGACTTTAATATGCACATAAGAAATGATTCATTACATGCTGTTCTAATGCTAAACACAAGTTCAACATAGAGAACTACCCTATAGATAAGCGATACTCACTATGTTTGTGGAAACCACAAATTTTCGATTGTTGAATTTAAACTGAGTATTTGGAAAGAGTTGTGCGTCAGTAAATTGTTGGCTAGAAACTTTGGCGAGTTCTCTGCCCTTTGTTCTGTACAGCAGCGTTGCTAGTTTAGGTTCGTCAGTCACTGCTCGGATCTGAAACATCTGAAATGAAAGGATTTTGAACAGATTTTGGTCAAGCAGACAATATGGCAGCCACAGCGACCCTTTCACCAAAATATATGCTTAAGAAACCGATAATACGTTATTTCAGTTCAGTTCTCAATTACATTTGCAGAATTAAATTGAAACGCCAAGGTGAAGTTACAACCGATGCTGGTAAAGCTATTTAGACAGGTGTTGACTGTCTGTTCCAGATCTAAAATCACACCGAGAGCAATCCAATATAGATGCTACATGCTACTGTGTTTGACACAGACGTTCAGTGCGGTCAGAATGTGAGCCATGATAATATAAAACTAAGCAAGAACTATTCAAGAAAAAATACTAAATCAGTTTTGGAAGAATGAAGGAGGCCGATGCCCTCTGACCCGACCAGATCTTACGACTCCTAAACTTCCAAACCAACAGTCTCGAAGCATCCAATTGATCGTGCTTATACTACTAAGACTATACCAACAACAACATTCGATACCAGTGGACGTTAAATCGACATCTTCCAACAATTACCTTGTCTGTGATAGAAGCTTACGCAGGAAGGAGACGTTAACTTGATACTTGATATCTGCAAACAACTACCTAGTCTGTGATATCAGTTAGCTAGATGTTAACTTGTCACCTACCAACAACTACCTAGTCTGTGATATCAGAGAGCTAGATGTTAACTTGTCACCTACCAACAACTACCTAGTCTGTGATATCAGTTAGCTAGATGTTAACTTGTCACCTACCAACAACTACCTAGTCTGTGATATCAGTTAGCTGGAAGCGAACGTTAACTTGTCATCTACCAACAACTACCTAGTCTGTGATATCAGTTAGCTGGAAGCGAACGTTAACTTGACATCTACCAACAACTACCTAGTCTGTAATATCAGTTAGCTGGAAGCGAACGTTAACTTGTCATCTACCAACAACTACCTAGTCTGTAATATCAGTTAGCTGGAAGCGAACGTTAACTTGTCATCTACCAACAACTACCTAGTCTGTGATATCAGTTAGCTGGAAGCGAACGTTAACTTGTCATCTACCAACAACTACCTAGACTGCGATGTCAGTTAGTTGGAACAAATCGTTAACTTGACATCTACCAACAACTGCCTAGTCTGTGATATCAGTTAGATGGAAGCGGACGTTAACTTGACAGCAACTTACCTGTAAGCGGAGCTTACTTGTCATCTACCACCATCGCGAGCCATATTGTTCTTATGTGGTCTTTACTGATTGCTGGAGCAGAAGAGCATGTCGAACCTACCTGTATAATGGAAAGTTTCAGAGCTGTAATATTAGATATTGTATGGGTGTTGTTGGTTTGATTGAGCTCTAGATAATTATTTTTGATAGCTGATACAATATCCTGTAAATAGAAAACAAAAACACAGCATATCCCTATAAGGTAGCAATACATGTATATCCATTAACCAAAACAACGCACCGGTACTTTTAGACATCATCGGCCGACTATCGGAGCACAAAGCCATTCAAGGAAGTCCTGGAGAAGTGCACCGATATAAAATTCAACATAAGGGATTAAAACCAGTATTTCATGCTTCAAATTATCAATTATAGAGTGGATAAAATACTCTGCAAGTAGGGTAATAATGGGTCAGTTTGTCAGACACCGGCACAATGTTTGTTGCTTTGTTCATGGGATTTGGCGCCGCCAATGTAGCCCTTCCGTTGCAATACCCAACTCTTACCGTTCGTAGACAAGTAGGGAGACAGACGTCCTGCCTGGGGTCCATCATCACTACGATATTATCTATATCCAGCTGACCCGTCTCTAGGTAAGTTCTATTGATATTATCCTGTAGTATTAACCATCTCGACCACAGTCTTAACGCTGTCATATTCTTCTGCTGAACGTCGAATAACTTAACCTGGTGAAAGAACTCAAACTGTTTCAAAGACCGATTATATATATTCAATATTCGAGGGTTCGAGGCGATCTTTCTTGAACTAGACCAAACACTGATACCGGCAAAGAGGAACGACGATTGGTCTGGATGGAACTTTGAACTTATGTAGATTTCGCTTTGCTGTTGTGCGACCGCCTTAATTGGTCATCACCTTTAATTTAAGTCATCTATATGAAAGTATTTCCCGTGAAACCAGACCACCTTTTTCGTAATGATTTTGGGGCATGGAAACCCCATTGGCTCTATGTAAAAAGCACATATTTTAGTCTTTGGCATCCGTTTTTACTATAAGAACAAAATATTTTTATTCGTTCTTCCACCTACCTCTAGGAGGACATCATTGATACAGTTATTAGAACAGAGTAAAATAACATTGAGAAGAGACTTTCCACGTTGGTTATAAACTCTGTATAACCCTGGATATTTATTATAACTTAAATCATCTACTGTATATAACCATACCCTGATATCTTTACTGGACAGTTCATCAAATAACAAATACGCTTGCCACTCTAAAATACAGAAGAGTTTGTCAAATAACAAATACGCTTGCCACTCTAAAATACAGAAGAGTTTGTCAAATAACAAATACGCTTGCCACTCTAAAATACAGAAGAGTTTGTCAAATAACAAATACGCTTGCTACTCTAAAATACAGAAGAGTTTGTCAAATAACAAATACGCTTGCTACTCTAAAATACAGAAGAGTTTGTCAAATAACAAATACGCTTGCCACTCTAAAATACAGAAGAGTTTGTCAAATAACAAATACGCTTGCCACTCTAAAATACAGAAGAGTTTGTCAAATAACAAATACGCTTGCCACTCTAAAATACAGAAGAGTTGTCAAATAACAAATACGCTTGCCACTCTAAAATACAGAAGAGTTTGTCAAATAACAAATACGCTTGTCACTCTAAAATACAGAAGAGTTTGTCAAATAACAAATACGCTTGCTACTCTAAAATACAGAAGAGTTTGTCAAATAACAAATACGCTTGCCACTCTAAAATACAGAAGAGTTTGTCAAATAACAAATACGCTTGCCATTCTAAAATACAGAAGAGTTTGTCAAATAACAAATACGCTTGCCACTCTAAAATACAGAAGAGTTTGTCAAATAACAAATACGCTTGCCATTCTAAAATACAGAAGAGTTTGTCAAATAACAAATACGCTTGCCACTCTAAAATACAGAAGAGTTGTCAAATAACAGATACACTTGCCACTCTAAAATACAGAAGAGCTCGTCAAATAACAGATACACTTGCCACTCTAAAAATACAGAAGAGTTCGTCAAATAACAGATACACTTGCCACTCTAAAATACAGAAGAGCTCGTCAAATAACAGATACAGATACACAGAAGAGTTTGTCAAATTACAAATACGCCAGCAACTCTAAAAACATATACATTGTCCACTTCAGGATACAGTGGGTTCAGAAAGAGGTGCAGCATATCAATTAGCGGAATTCTATCGTGATCTTGACACGGGGTGTTCTTGTTTCGGGGCGACGGGTGTACATGGGTTCCGATAATATGCGTTCAAAAAGGATTCCCGTTAAAAAAAATCAGTACAAAAGTGAAATAATATATTTGGAGCTAAATCAGCAATCTAATGTTGTTTGTTTTTTTTTTTATAAATGACACAACCAACAACTTGTCATGTATGATAAAAATATTTACCGAAGTCTGTATCATAAATGATTAATACTATTTTCCACTCTAAGCTAAGAATTATATCCTCTATCTGTTGATTTTGGTAAAATTTTAATTGGCTGTCCGAAACACAGGAAATGAACGTATCTTCAACTTCCGGATTAATCCTCGCCTTGCACATCGGACATGCCACTTCCGGTTCACGTCTGAACATTCTACGGTTCCATAAAGACTCTGAAAATTTCTGTTGTGAGAACCAGACGATGTCTGCTGTAACGTTGTCATGGTGAATCAAAACCTTGAACTCTTCTGGAATAATCACAATGTCTGAGGACCCACAGATACACTGCACTGAAATGTATGCATTAAGTTAATGAAAATACAATGTATAAAATATAATAACATAGCTATAAGTTCCCCAAAAAGTGGAGGATCAGTAAATACAGTAAAATGTGTTTCACACTCTGATGATGCAAAAGGTCGCAGATTTAGATGTTTCATCCGGTGATATTTATTCTTTCTGCAAAATAGAGAAAGAAACAATTAATTCAACCCAATAAATGAGTCCAATACAGAAGCTCCCAGACTAACCCTTGAGTTGCTCGCCTGTACCCAAGGAACGAAGTTGGATCGAATCTGTCTCTCAGATCTGCTTCTATAACAGTCAAAAATAGAATCAGTGCTTAGTGATGTTTGTCCAGAAATAAACTAGTGTCCAAAAGAAACGATACCAACTTATTTTCAAAATTGTTTTTTACTAAGTGAATTGTCTAATATGAAAACATGCCAATTCGTATTGCACATCCCAAACACAGCATAGTCGATAAAAATACCGAGAACACGTGATCACTTCCGGGGAAAAAACGTAAATTTCATGAAAGTGA